CCGTCATTGCTATGTCACTCAGCCATATAGCATTTAGGTTTTAATAAGATATGTTCAAGACCAAGTGCTAGAGACACAAGAAGGAGTGTGTTGCATCAGTAGAGATTTTCCAGCATGCTATAAAAATTCCTAAAACTGATCACAGGATCTGAAGGATCCAAAGTAGACAAGTTAACCTTGTTAGGTGTAACTGAAATGTCACAATATACAGCAACAGTATACATTTTTCAAGGAAGCTTCACCTTTTATCAGCTTAATTTCCAGTTTATGACTTTGCTTAGGCAGAGATGATGTCATCAGTCTGCTGCAGGCAGGAAGAAGCATTTCCTCAGTCTTCTCTCCTCCAGTGACCACATTGTAACCTTGTAACTTTGTAGTAAGTCCCAAGTTGAGAGGCTGCAGTAGGACGATCAGAGTCAGACATTTGTGAACTGAACAGAAACCAAGATTTACAGGACTGTGTCATCTCTGAGCTGGCATCTTTATAGGGGACCCTGGATGATGCCTGAACAAAGATGGCACAATCTGACTGAAGCAGAAGAAGGCATTTTAAGGGAATTGTGGTATCTGTAAGAGGTAATGAACACTTAAAAGTGTTATACTGACACTTTCTTGGCATACATGAACTTACCTACCTATGTACACTATATTGCCAAAAGTATTGGGCCAGTCCTTCAAATCATTGGATTCAGGTGTTGCAATCACCTCAATGGCCACAGGTGTATATAATCCAGCCCCTCGGCATGCAGACTGCTTCTACAAACATTTGTGAAAGAATGGGTCGCTCTCAGGAGCTCAGTGACTCCAAGCGTGGTACCATGATAGGTGGCCACCTGTGCAATAAGTCCATCCGTGACATTTCCTGGCTACTAAATGTTCCACGCTCAACTGTTAGTGGTATTACAACAAAGTGGAAGCAACTGGGAACAATAGCAACTCAACCATCAAGTGGTAGGCCACGTAAAATTGCAGAGCGGGGTCAGTGCATGCTGAAGCACACAGTGCGCAGAAGTCACCAACTGTCTGCAGAGTTAATAGCTAAAGACCTCCAAACTTCATGTGGCCTTCAGATTAGCACAACAACAGTGCATAGAGAGCTTCATGGAATGGGTTTCCAAGCCTTATATCACCAAGTGCAGTGCAAAGCATTGGGTGCAGTGGTGTAAAGCACGCCGCCACTGGACTCTAGAGCAATGGAGACATGTTCTGTGGAGTGACAAATCAAGCTTCTCTGTCTGGTAATCTGTTGCATGTGTCTGGGTTTGGCGGTTGCCTGGAGAACGGTACTTGTTTGACTGCATAGTGCTAAGTGTAAAGTTTGGTGGAGGGGGATTATGGTGTGGGGTTGTGTTTCAGGGCTTGGGTTTGGCCCCCTAGTTCCAGTGAAGAGAACTCTTAAAGCATCAGCATACCAAGAAATTTTGGACAATTTCATGCTCCAACTTTGTGGAAACAGTTTGGGAACTGCAAACCAGGCCTTCTTGTCCGACATCAGTGCCTGACCTCACAAATGTGCTTCTGGAAGAATGGTCAAACCTTCCCATAGACACCCTCCTAAACCTTGTGGATGGCCTTCCCAGAAGAGTTGAAGCTGTTATAGCTGCAAAGGGCGGGGCCAATTCAATATTGAACCCTACGGACTAAGACTGGGATGCCATTAAACTTCATGTGCGTGTAAACTTTTGGGAATATAGTGTATCTGATGCTAGGTCTGCATTCCTCTACATATGGGCAATATTATCGCAGTATAGAAGACTCCTCTATATAAGGAAATTTCCAGATAAGCTGTTCTATGACATTCCTACTATACTAAAAGTTCCAGGCTCAGTTCTAACTGAGCCTCTCCAGTCCTGGAGTTTGGAAGTTTTCCTGTGTTTTCTTCAAGAACCGACCCATGTCCTGGTAGGTCATTTCACTCTTGACCAGGCATGTGTGGGACCTTTTGAGTCATGTTAGATTGAAAACATATAGGTGGGTTTAATGTCATTGATTTTTGTTACCTGTACGGCACTATGGTATATGTGTGGAGAGTTGGGAGGGGTGTTGGGAAACCATATGTAAAGGATCCTGAAATGTTCTTTTCATCCTGTTTATCTACCCTGCAGAACCAGTATAAATCGGACCTGAAGTGGATGAGGGGAGTTGGCTGGATCACTGAGGGGTCGCTTGATGTGCTACAGGCAAAGAAAGCAGCCGAGCTCATCAGTGAGGTGAGAAACCAAAAATATCTCCACCACTAAGATTGCTGCTGCCACCCTATCAATATTCTCCTCCATCACTACCTTCTGTAGTTCTGCCATTAGTATTATGATCAGTATTGGTTCTGTCACAAAAACCAACATCACCACCTACATCAGCATTGCTAGGATGACCATCTCTAAGACTGCTGATACTTTGGCAGCTGCTATCAGTTTTACTTCTACCATGGTTGTTGATATAGGAAGGACTATAACGACTGCAGCTACTGCCGCCAGTACTACCACAGCCACCAGTAAAGGATATCTGTAAGGAATGTGATATCTGATATGTATGATAGCTAAAGCTTCCATTCAGCATCTGAATTTGGAGCTTGGCTGCATTAAAGGGGACCTGTCAGGTTGGCCCTTACGAATCACAGCCAAAGTCCTCGGCCAGCATTGGAAACTGGCTTTGCGCAACTCATGGAAGAGCGACTCCAGGCAGAGAACATTGCATGCTGTTGCAGAGACATTTCTATCCTGGAATGGCACCATTTCTGTATGCTCTCATTGACCATATCTGGCCATATATAAATCCTGTATAATAATATTAGGTCAATGATATGATAAGCAACCCTGTCCTTTGGTTACATATTAAACCTTTCCAAAACCGAGCGACTAGTTTTCCCCCCAGCCCGTGCCCCCCCCCCCATCCTTTCCATCACGACTAATAACGCTACCATCAGTCCCACCCCACAAGCCAAGGTCCTTGGTGTCACTCTAGACTACAATCTGTCCTTCCAACCCCATGTCCAATCGCTGGCAAATTCATGCAGGCTCCACCTCCGCAACATCTCCAAAATACATCCGTTCCTAACCCCAGACACTACTAAACTACTCATTCACTCCCTTATTATCTCACGCCTGGACTACTGCAACTCCCTCCTCACCGGCCTACCTCATTACAGACTATCCCCGCTTCAGTCTATCCTAAACTCAGCGGCCAGACTCATCCACCTTACCAACCGCTCCGTATCTGCCACCCCCCTCTGTCATTCCCTCCATTTCCGATTGCCCAACGCATAAAATTCAAACTACTAACATTGACGTGCAAAGCTATTCATAATACTGCCCCAAACTACCTCACCGACCTGATACCCAAATACCACCCAACACGTACTCTTCACTCCTCACAAGACCTCCTACTCTCTAGCTCCTTAGTCTCCTTCTCCCATGCCCGACTCCAGGACTTCTCAAGGACTTCCCCCATCCTCTGCAACTCACTACCCCAATCCATCAGACTGTCACCTACCCTCCTCACCTTTAAGCGCACCCTGAAAACAAATCTCTTCAGGGAAGCCTACCCCGCCCTCACCTAACAGCTGATCTCCTCCACTCCTCATACCACTCCATCCCCCACAGCCACTTCCTCCTGTACCATTACCCCCTCCCTCCTAGATTGTAAGCTCCAAAGAGCAGGGCCCTCGAACCCCTCGTGTATTGTTACTGTATTGTCTCATGTTCTGTCCCCCACTACAATGTACAGCGCTGAGCAAACTTTTTGGCGCTATATAAATACTGTATAATAAAAAAATAATAACATATGGCTGCGGGGCGGGGAAATGCTCATTTGGCAGGATGACAGCTTGTTTCTGTGTTCAGTCCGAACCTAAGTTCTGACCAAACCCATGCTCTTCCATACTTTAGACCAAAAACCTAATTGTAACACAAGTCTAACTGTGTCCATGTTCCACAACAAGGCAGTCCAAGCATACAAAGAACAACAATTTGTTCTAGTTGCAGCTTTCTGCAATGTCATTCTAGCAAGCAAACCTGGTAATAAATCAAGAACCTAACATTAGCATATAAGCACTTACTAATGTAAATGAATCATTGGAAAATTAAACTGATAATAATTTTTCTTTATCATGTCACAAGCCATACCCGCTACATACTGTATAGTAGCATCTAAATTTCTGTTGGCACTAGAACTGCCACCAGTTCTACCACCACCACCACCACCTCCACCTCAATAATATATTCTACCACCATCTCCACCATACCTGCTGCCTCCACCACCACTATCTCCTCAACACTGCCATCTCCTAGATTGTAAGCGCGAAAGAGCAGGGCCCTCGATCCCCTCATGTTTTGCATTGTATTGGTAGTGTGCTGTCACATGTTCTGTCCCCCTTTGCAGCGCTGAGCGAACCATTGGCGCTTTATAAATACTGTATAATAATATAATAATTTCAAGATCTGAGGCTAATTTAATGCAGATATGGTACTAGGAGAGTTTAGTCACCACCTTAATCAGCCACAGAATCTGTGTAATTAATATGTGTTCGGTTTTAAAGGGATGAGGTGACAACCCTACTACCACTCCCGCAACTTATTACTACCGATGTTTATTTCACTGCCACCCCCACCTCTGCTGGGGTTACAAGTACCATAGTAGCCAGAATTCTATCACCAACCAGAACACATAAAGAGACTACAGAGCTAAATTTTTTCCTAGCAAGGAAAATATCTGAACAGTCTTTTTTTGTGCGTGAAAGAGATATTGGGCTTGTAGAATTCCAGTATACGTATGATATCAATAAATTTTCCAATGTGCATATATACACATCAATGGGACGCACACAGCAATAAAAAAAAAAACGTGCCCTTCATACTTTACTACTACTTAAAACAAACAAACCCCCAAAACATTTGAACTTGGTCAGCATGGGCTATACATACTGCTTGCTTCGATGATTGTCTTCTGTGAATAGGCCCCAGTGACTCTGTATTTTATGTTTCCCATTATCTTGCATTGTACAGAAGTCATACAGGCAGCTGCCATCGGCGCTGAAGTTCACCAGCATCCAGGATACACCAGAGATGATTCAAGCCCGAACCAGCTACAATCAGGCAGTGGATGTAAGTCTGGAACTTGGCCATTCAGTTAGAAATTCTTCATGTGTCTTTCCTAAATGTTACTTGTGTACATCCCATGGCTCCCAGATGTGTCAGTAGGAAAAAGACTTTGGGGCAGGGGCAGACTGACAACTCATGGGGCCCCCGGGCAATAGGGGATCATGGGCCCCTGTGTCCTTGCCCAAACTCAAAAAAGCCTATGAAAAAGATACCAGGGGCATCTCATGGGGCCCCCTACTGACCCCGGGCCCTCAGGCAGTGCCCGAGTTTCCAAATGATCAGTCCGTCCCTGCTTCAGGGACAACTGTCCACTCCAAGGAACAGAGAACTCAGGGGGCTGCACACCACATTTAGGGAAAACGGAAGTATTTGTGAGTTTGAAGTCTGAATGGGCCCTAGGATACTGAAGTTAATGAAGAGACAAGAACAGGTCTAGGACAGATGAAAGGAGCTTATGACCCTTAGGACCCATTCAGTTCTTGGTGTCTTGTTGCAGTGTTGCACACAAGATACCACAAGGGTTGTTGCGCATAATGTTTGTGCGTGAATGAATGAGTTGGCAACGCATCAGTAGAAAAAAAAAAACACAGACAAGCACCATTTTTGGCACACACAACGTAAGCTTACCCCAAGCCATGGTAGTGTGTTATCACACACTGTAGTGCATTGGCCTCCATGTGCATTGGAGTTGTGTTGCCTTAGTGTATTGGCATGCTATTCAAAATTAGTATCACGGCAATGCGCTAAAACACGTAACATGCATTACTGTAGCGTGTGAGTTACCACAATGTACCACGGATAAAAAAGTTTGTTTCAACCCTCAATGGCTAATACTTGAGCCCTAAAAAAATCACCAAAACATCTTAAAGTGTTACTAAACCCTCAACCGTAACATCAGTCTGTATTTGCAGAAAAGCACGTCTGTTATACTCACTGTGGAACCTAAGTGTTTAATCCCCTGCATTGTGTGAAAAGGCTGTTTGATCTTGTCTTCTCTGATCTCACCCTTCTTCTACTGTCCCCAATTAATCTGCTGATAGAACAGAGCCTTGGGGGCAAACTGCACATGATCAGTTTGGTGTGCATTGCTAGAGAGTTTTTTTTTTTGTAGAGTGCATGTGATCAGTACAGGGCCAATCAGCACTATCCAGACAGAGGGTCAGGGGTCATGTGCCCTCTTAGGACAATCAGGGGAGAATGAAAACTCTTACAAGCTTTAACCAGTGCTCTGCTGGACACTGATATAAGTCACTGCTGTATACTGCTGATGAGAAAATGTATTTAGCAGTTTATATTTAATAAAATAATTTCATTTCCATGTGCTGTGTACTGTGGGAGACCAGATATAGTGAATGCAGGGTCTGGGAAGACCAGATATAGTGAATGAAGGGTCCGGGGAGACCAGATATAGTGAATGCAGGGTCCGGGGAGACCAGATATAGTGAATGCAGGGTCTGGGAAGACCAGATAAAGTGAATGCAGGGTCCGGGGAGACCAGATATAGTGAATGCAGGGTCCGGGGAGACCAGATATAGTGAATGCAGGGTCCGGGGGAAACCAGATATAGTGAATGCAGGGTCCTGGGTATAGTAACACTTTAATTTATCCTTTCCCATTGAGTCCAATTCATTTAATCAAAATTGTGATTGCATGATTTCCCCATAATGCTCCAATTTTGCTCCCAGTAGCTCTTCCTCAATAATAACTGTGTATTTTATATGATTTCTATTTCCACAGAGCAAATACAAAGAGCAGGGGGAGAACATCAAGCACAGATATACCTCCACTGCTGAGCTTCCTGAACTTCTGCAAGCAAAACTCAATGCTCTGAACATTAGCGAGGCAAGTTCCTCACTCTGGTGGGAATATAGGCCAGGGTGGTAATATTTCAGGACCGGTATGGCAGGTTGGCCCTTAAATAACTTTCATTTTACCTTTGTAGCACCCCCTGACCCGCTAAGGCATATGAGGAACCTCGGAGGAAAGGCAGGTTGACCTAAATTCACCCCAGCAGTATCGGAGCAATGTAAACAGAAGAGAGCCACTCACTTTTCTGAGCAAACAAGAAAAGACGGTTAGGGCACATAACATACTTCTGGAAGAGAGGGTTATGGCACCCATGGACATGGTAGACCCCAGAAGCTGGGTAAATGGTTTCACAGTCTTCACAGATAGAGAACCTTTAAGCCTACCTGGCATTATGTGAATTCAGCTCCTGGCTGTAAGATACTGGATGGTTGAGCCTCTGGCTCCTCTGGAAGAGATCTCCACACTTTAGCTGAGACCGAATGTCTGAGTAGCTTTTCCAGACTCTATTTATGTTGAAGTTCCCCATGGTGCAACAATCCCCCTTGCTGAACATTATAGGACTCAAATCCAGCCCACTGTCTGATCACGTTTGACTTCTTCTGACAGCTGGTCCAAGAGGATCAGGTATATACCTGCATCCATTCCCTGCCAGGAGGACTGACTAACTCCCCAAGGTCACTCCAGAATATCAATACGTTCTCCCTGCCTGCCCCACTGGCAATATATCTTGCTGGCCAACCACAAGGAGGTTTAAAGTGATTCTATCAGCTGAAGATTTTTTACCTTCATGCATTCCCCCACAATTATAATTTCCCCTGTAGCCCCCCTTCAATTATAATTACCCTCCCCTACACAATTATAATTCCCCAGCAGCCCCCCCCCTTCTATGTCGAGTTCTTTTTAATGAGGAATACGGCTGATACAAAGACGCTCATCAGGAGGGAGCTTACTTTGGAGTCTGTATTCAGCAAGCTGATCTTCTGAGTCCATATGGGACCAAAAGTGCAGTTAGACCGTAACATTGTATACTGTGAGGTCACACTGCGTGAGGTGAGCAGATATATGGTGGAGGATGTCTTTGCACGGGAATTGATGACAGATGCACATATTTTTCGTTATCCAAAGGAGGGTTCACTGAATGAACACTTTATTGATCTTCATTTTTTTGAAGGACCTTTGTTTGATTCATACTTAAAAATATGCTTTATTTTTTGTGTTTTTTTTTTTTTTTTTTATATATACACTATATATATATATATATATATATATATATATATATATATATATATATATATATATTTATTTATTTATCTATTGTGTGTGTGTATATATATATATATATATATTTATTTCAATATTAATATTTTTTTCTACTATTTTTTTTCTTCTAATATATATTTATTTCTTCACTTTGTTTTTTGGTTATATAATGGTTTGTGCCATTGATTCATGTAGCACAGCATTTTTTCACTTCACATTATGATTGTATAATTTGCCCCACAGAGACATGGGGTGTGTACACTAGCGGCTACAGCATTTAATTGTAATTTTTGTTTTTATTTCACCATAGTTAGCGCTTGAGTTATTCAATTTATTCTAGAATATACCTTCTTGATGGTGTCACCCCTTTGACAGGTGCCACCCATGTATGGTCTCCCCCCACCCTCACAGAGCGACACCACTGTTTGGACATACAGAGCAATTAAAGTAAACCTCAAAGCTAAAATAAAATCTGCTTATATTTTGCCTGCCCCACCCCCCCCCCATCCATATGCTAATGTAATTAAAAAAAAAATTATGTTTTTATTACACACTTTATTTAAGTACTCTGAGCTTACCTATGCAATGCAGGCAGATCATGGTTGATGGGAAGGGCTGGCAGGACACATTTATAAATGCCCCCCCCCAATGAAAAAAAGCAGAGCTGTACTCTTTGACCACTAGCATGTCACAAATTGAGGTTCAGCAGAAGCTGCGGTCGTATCGCACAGGACCCCAATTCTTCCAGATCTTTTCTAAAGCATACAATGTCCTGAGGTGCCCTACCCATAATAGATATGGCTGCAAAACCATGCTAGGTGAACTCGCCCTCTCGTCCCCAATGGCCAACATAAGTGTTGAACCAAGGATAGGGTTAACAGAACCACAAATTGTCTATGGCAGCTCCCATGGTCCTATATTGGCGGGTCCTCTTTAAGCCCCACTAATTTTTTCAGCGGCAGAAGGACCGCAGAGCGAATACACATTTAATTACATCAAACTGTTTATTTCTCCATCAGACACGCTACAAGGAGTCATGGGGCCGTCTGAGGGATGGAGGATACAAGCTGAAGCTGGATGCAATCCCCTTCCAGGCTGCAAAGGCATCTGGGGAAATAATTAGTGAAGTGAGTTCTCTTCATACATTATGTATCCCAGGGTGAGATAATACGCAATCTCCAGACTCACTATACTGTATATCATTTAATCTAAACAAGCAAAAAAAAATCCTTCTAGGTCTGCTCTTGGCTGTGGAAGAATTTACTCACCTGCTTCTGTTCTGTAGATGCTGAGACAGGCTATTCTACTACTGAGATGCTGAGTGGGTGGGTCTGCCTTTACTGAGATCACATGATCAGTCCTGGTGGGTGCATCCCCGGCATCACTGTAAATGTGCAAAACCTTCCTGAAAGATTGCAATAATGCCGATAATTGGGGCTGACTACTGGAAAAGGGGCAATCAGAGGAGCAGGGGGACGAGGATTCTGGGAAGTATTGAGGCTTCTGGATAATTGCTGGCAGCTCCTTCTGAAAAACGAAAATACCTCCCTGGCTGTTAATTTCACCAAGTGTCTTCAGTACCACAAGGAAAAATAATTTGAACTTTAGTTAAAAAATATTTTTTGCTCCATTCACACTTGTGCGACTTGCCGTGCGAATTTATGTGTCCAAAGCTGCACCACAAGTGTGGATGGAGTGTAAAATATTTGTAACTACTTAAAATTCAGATTTCTTTTCCTTGTAGCATTAACATTTCATCTATTTCAGCAGAAGCCGTTCAAACCTATGAAAATTAAAGTCGCAGTGACTTTAAAAAGTTCCCTACACTACTTTGATGTGACTTTCATGCGACTTCAGTGCCATAGACTGCAATGCAAACTCTCAAAAGTCGCATTAAAGTCACATCTTAAAGTAATATTAAAGGCAATTCTTTTTTAACTCCTTGGCGCCGGCGCCTCCCAGCCCTTTAAGGGTTCCAGAACCCGGGAGGCGGGGTGGGATTTTAAGGTCATGTGACCGCCGTGATTCACCGTCACGGCGGTCACATGATCTGGAAAGGTCCAGATCGAAAGAGGAGATGGGGACCTTTTCGTGAGTACCGGACATGCGTGCTGGAAGTGCGCAGGGCGCGCACTTTCAGGACATATGTTTTTGTTAATTGCACGCAAATGTGCGGCCGCTCGGCTCGGCGTCAAGGCTTAGACGTTGGGAGGCCACACATTTGCGTGCGCTGGTGTGAAGAGGTTAAACAAACATGTCTATACCAGGGGCGGACTGAGATCTCATGGGGCCCCTGGGCAATAGGGGATCATGGGGCCCAAATTCAAAAAAGCCTATGAAAAAGGTACCAGGGGCATCTCATGGGGCCCCCTACTGACCCTGGGCCCTCGGGCAGTGCCCGAGTTTCCAAATGGTCTGTCCGCCCCTGGTCTATACTTACCTGCTCTGTGTAGTGGTTTTGCACAGAGCAGCCCTGATCCTCCTCTTCTTGGCACCCCCTCCCTCCTGCCAGGTGCCCCCCAGAGCAAGCAGCTTGCTATGGGGGCACCCAAAAAAGGCTTGCTCCTGAACCGCTGCTCTGTGTGTCCATTCACATACAAAGCAAAGGCTCAACCCAGCGTCATCTCTCCTCATTGGCTCATTGACTGTGATTGACAGCAACATGAGCCAATGGTTTCTGTCTCAATCAATAAGGAGGGAGAGTCCCTGGAGAGCTGAGGCTCTGGTGCACATCGTTGGATCTTGATGGAAGCGGCTGCTGCACACAGAAGGTTTCTTACCTTCATGCATAGAATACATGCTGGTATAAAACCTTGAGCCTTCACAACCACTTTAATGTTATCAATGCGACAGTGAAAGCCAAAGTCAACAGCCAGAGCTGCATCCAAGCCCACCCATCCAAAGTTGCATCAAAGGTACATGAAAGATGCAATGTGAAGTCACAATGGAAATCGCACATCTTTAGAGTCGCACAAGTGTGAATGGAGCCTTAAAGGAGGTTGTCTAAATATATGTCAGTTGCCATTGCTAACCCAATTTTGAGGCTACAAGTTCCCAATAGGAGCGTCTATATTTAGTCCACAGCCAAATATAATTTTTAAACTGCCTAAAAGTTCAAGTTTATTTTCCTTGCAGCCAAGAGATAACTTTTTGGATTCCCCCTCTGCATGGATTGGCCTGCAGAGAGCTTGAGTTCAAATTACCACCATTCACTGCAAGATCTTTCCGCTCATCTACACTCACTGGCCTCTTTCTTAGGTACTGTAGTAGAGAACAAAAACAGAGCGCACCAACCTTGCGCATTACCTCAGTAAGCAATTAGTGGATTTATTGATTTAAGAGATATTCTCACAAAAGTATCAATATAACAGGCATATAGAATCCAAAAAATGAATCATAGGATAAAGAGACAAGTGTGAATCCCATCGAAAGGGGAGACTCTCGGGGTGAAGCTGACGCGTTTCAAAGGGGGTTCCCTTCTTCATTAATAAACTCTTTATTAGGTACACCTGTTCAATTGCTTGCTAGCACAAATTGCTAATCAGCCAATCACCGGGCAGCAACTCAATACATTTAGGCATCTAGACGTGGTGAAGACTACTTGCTGAAGTTCAAACCGAGCATCAGAATAGGTAAGAAAGGGGATTTAAGTGACTTTGAACGTGGCATGGTTGTTGGTGCCAGACAGGCTGGTCGGAGTATTTCAAAAACTGCTGATCTACTGGGATTTTTATGCACAACCATCTCTAGGGTTTACAGAGAATGGTCCAAAAAATAGAAAATATCCAGAGAGTGGCAGTTGTGTGGATGAAAATGTTGATGTAGGGGAGAAAGGCAGACTGGTCTGAGATGATAGAAAGGCAACAGTAACTCAAATAACAACTCGGTACAACCAAGGTATGCAGAATACATCTCGTAACGCACAATAGGTCTAACCTTGAAGCAGATGGGCTACAGCAGCAGAAGACCACACCGGATGCCACTCCTGTCAGCTAAGAACAGGAAACAGAGGCTAAAATTCGCACAGGCTCAACAAAAATTGGACAATAGAAGATTGGAAAAACATTGCCTGGTCTGATGAGTCTCAATTTCAGCTGCGATAGTTAGATGGTAGGGTCAGAATTTGGCGTAAACAACATGAAAGCATGGATCCATCCTGCCTTGTATCAACGGTTCAGGCTGGTGGTGTATTGGTGTGGGGGAGATTGGCACTAGCAAGGAGTACCTAATAAAGTGGCCAGTGAGTGTAGAAGCTGGCTTCTGCATTATGTGTTAACGAGGGGGAGGTCAGTGTGTTCACCACCACCAATATCTGTGCATAGCCTTTTCCAGGGTTTTGAGACCTTTGGCCATCTTTGGCCAGGCCAGAATGACTTAGCTTTCACGTGTCCATTCTAAAGAATATTGCGAACAGGCAGGTAAGTTTGTTATATTGCAGGAGACATACAGGTGAAACTCGAAAAATTAGAATATTGTGCAAAAGTTCATTTATTTCAGTAATGCAACTTAAAAGGTGAAACTAATATATGAGATAGACTCATTACATGCAAAGCAAGATAGTTCAAGCCGTGATTTGTCATCATTGTGATGATTATGGCTTACAGCTCATGAAACCCCAAATCCACAATCTCAGAAAATGAGAATATTGTGAAAAGGTTCAATATTCTTGGCTCAAAGTGTCCCACTCTAATCAGATAATTAAGCCATAACACCTGCAAAGGGTTCCTGAGCCTTTAAATGGTCTCTGTCTGGTTCAGTAGGAATCACAATCATGGGAAAGACTGCTGACCTGACGGTTGTGCAGAAAACCATCATTGACACCCTCCATAAGGAGGGAAAGCCTCAAAAGGTAATTGCAAAAGAAGTTGGATGTTCGCAAAGTGCTGTATCAAAGCACATTAATAGAAAGTTATGTGGAAGGGAAAATTGTGGAAGAAAAAGGTGCACAAGCAGCAGGGATGACCGCAGCCGGGAGAGGATTGTCAGGAAAAGGCCATTTAAAAGTGTTGGGAACTTTCACAAGGAGTGGACTGAGGCTGGAGTCAGTGCATCAAGAGCCACCACACACAGATGGATCCTGGACATGGGCTTCAAATGTCGTATTCCTCTTGTCAAGCCGCTCCTGAACAACAAACAACGTCAGAAGCGTCTTACCTGGGCTAAAGAATAACAGACCTGGTCTGTTGCTCAGTGGTCCAAAGTCCTCTTTTCTGATGAGAGCAACTTTTGCATCTCATTTGGAAACCAAGGACCCAGAGTATGGAGGAAGAATGGAGAGCCCAAGGACCCAGAGTATGGAGGAAGAATGGAGAGGCACACACTGCAAGATGCTTGAAGTCCAGTGTGAAGTTTCCACAGTCTGTGTTGATTTGGGGAGCCATGTCATCTGCTGGTGTTGGTCTACTGTGCTTCATTAAGTCCAGGGTCAACACAGCCGTCTACCAGGAGATTTTGGAGCACTTCATGCTTCCTTCCGCAGACGAGCTTTATGGGGATGCTGACTTCATTTTCCAGCAGGACTTGGCACCTGCCCACACTGCCAAAAGCACCAAAACCTGGTTCAATGACCGTGGGATTACTGTGCTTGATTGGCCAGCAAACTCGCCTGACTTGAACCCCATAGAGCAGCGGTTCTCAACCTGGGGGTCGCGACCCCTTTGGGGGTCGAACGACCATTTCCCAGGGGTCGCCTAAGACCATCGGAAAACACATATTTCCGATGGTCTTAGGAACCGAGACACCGCTGCAGTCTCCGGCGATGTGTGGGCGGGATGATACGCTGCTGTCACCCAGCCACACCTCCAAGATCGCTCAGCAGCTCCGCCTCCTCGCCGCTGATTGGCCACCGGAACTGTAGCTCAGGAGAGGCACACAGGCGGCCAATCACCGGCGAGGAGGTGGAGCTTGGAGAGGAGGAACCAAGCGGCAGCGCGCGTACATCAAAGAAGACCGAGGGAGCGAGTGAAGAGGAGAGCGGCCAGAGAAGGAAGACAGCTGACAGGTAAGTGAGAGAGCGAGCCCAGGCTGGAGCAGGGGTCAGCAAGGTAAGTATCATTGGTGTCAGTGGGAGGAATAGTGCCCCATCATTTGTGTCACTAATACCAACGATGGGGCACTATTCCTCCCCCCACTGACACCAACGATGGGGCACTACTCCTCCCCCCCCCACTGACACCCAACGATGTGGGGCACTACTCCTCCCCCCACTGACACCAACGATGGGGGCACTATTCCTCCCCCCACTGACACCAACGATGGGGCACTATTCCTCCCCCCACTGACACCAACGATGGGGCACTATTCCTCCCCCCACTGACACCAACGATGGGGCACTATTCCTCCCCCCACTGACACCAACGATGGGGCACTATTCCTCCCCCCACTGACACCAACGATGGGGCACTATTCCTCCCCCCACTGACACCAACGATGGGGCACTATTCCTCCCCCCACTGACACCAACGATGGGGCACTATTCCTCCCCCCACTGACACCAACGATGGGGCACTATTCCTCCCCCCACTGACACCAACGATGGGGCACTATTCCTCCCCCCCCACTGACACCAACGATGGGGCACTATTCCTCCCCCCACTGACACCAACGATGGGGCACTATTCCTCCCCCCACTGACACCAACGATGGGGCACTATTCCTCCCCCCACTGACACCAACGATGGGGCACTATTCCTCCCCCCACTGACACCAACGATGGGGCACTATTCTTCCCCCCACTGACACCAACGATGGGGCACTATTTCTTCCCCCCCCCCACTGACCCCAATGATGGGGCACTATTTCCCCCCCACCACACTGATCAATGATGGGGCACTATTCCTCCCACTGACACCAATGATGGGGCACTATTCCTCCTCCCACTGACACCAATGATGGGACACTATTTCCCCCCCCCCCACTGACCCCAATGATGGGACACTATTTTCCCCCCACCCCACTGACCCAACGATGGGGCACTATTCCCTCCCACTGACACCAACGATGGGGCACTATTCCTCCCACTGACACCAACGATGGGGCACTATTTCCTCCCACTGACACCAACGATGGGGCACTATATTCCTCCCACTGACACCAACGATGGGGCACTATTCCTCCCACTGACACCAACGATGGGGCACTATTCCTCCCACTGACACCAACGATGGGGCACTATTCCTCCCACTGACACCAACGATGGGGCACTATTCCTCCCACTGACACCAACGATGGGGCACTATTCCTCCCACTGACACCAACGATGGGGCACTAATTCCTCCCACTGACCCACGATGGGGACATTCCACCCACTGAACAACGATGGGGCACTATTCCTCCCACTGACACCAACGATGGGGCACTATTCCTCCCACTGACACCAACGATGGGGCACTATTCCTCCCACTGACACCAACGATGGGGCACTATTCCTCCCACTGACACCAACGATGGGGCACTATTCCTCCCACTGACACCAACGATGGGGCACTATTCCTCCCACTGACACCAACGATGGGGCACTATTCCTCCCACTGACACCAGCGATGGGGCACTATTCCTCCCACTGACACCAGCGATGGGGCACTATTCATCCCACTGACATCAGCGATGGGGCACTATTCCTCCCACTGACACCAACGATGGGGCACTATGCATCCCACTGACATCAGTGATGGGGCACTATTCCTCCCACTGATACCAACGATGGGGCACTATTCCTCCCACTGATACCAACAATGGGGCACTATTCATCCCACTGACATCAGTGATGGGGCACTACTCCTTCCACTGACACCAATGACATGGCACTACTCCTCCCACTGCAAAATTACAGTTATGAAGTAGCAATGAAAATAATTTTATGGTTGGGGGTCACCACAACATGAGGAACTGTATTAAGGGGTCGCGGCATTAGAAAGGTTGAGAACCACTGCCATAGAGAATCTATGGGGCATTGCCAAGAGAAAGATGAGAGACATGAGACCGAACAATGCAGAGGAGCTGAAGGCCGCTATTGAAGCATCCTGGTCTTCCATAACACCTCAGCAGTGCCACAGGCTGATAGCTTCCATGCCACGCCGCATTGAGGCACTAATTGCTGCAAAAGGGCCCCAAACCAAGTACTGAGTACATATGCATGCTTATACTTTTCAGAGGTCCGATATTGTTCTATGTACAATCCTTGTTTTATTGATTGCATGTAATATTCTCATTATCTGAGATTGTGGATTTGGGGTTTTCATGAGCTGTAAGCCATAATCATCACAATGATGACAAATCACGACTTGAACTATCTTGCTTTGCATGTAATGAGTCTATCTCATATATTAGTTTCACCTTTTAAGTTGCATTACTGAAATAAATGAACTTTTGCACGATATTCTAATTTTTCAAGTTTCACCAGTATAACGTCTTCTGGATGTTTCTGCTTTAAGCCCTGATGAAGTCATTTATATGCCCCTGAAATAAGTTGGCTTCTTCATTTGATCTTCTATCAGACCTTATATTGGAATTAAATTGTTTCTGGACTATCAATTTGTGGTGTCTCAGATCCACTGTCCAACCATGAAGCAAGGATATGGTCCAGAGCCTTGGAGCTCTCACGGTTTATTTAATTGAAGGACGAGTTGTATATGGCTATACAGCAGAGGTCAGTACAATGCTAAACACCACCAGCCATGTGTGCAAATTCATTATGTGTCTCATTGTGAATATAATTAGCAGTTTCTTTATATAAAAGTTTTTTTGTTTTTTTTTAAGCACCATTTTTAAAAGCTCACTTTGGGAAACTAAAAAAGGAGCTCTTGTTGTGGGGCTGTGCCAGCACTGCGAGGGTTAATTTAGGTCTAGGGGACATAAAAAAGAGAATTCCCATGGCATTTTCTCCGCCATACTCCAGCGATGTAAGGTTCTGACATCATCATACAAAGACAGGGTCCATAACTCTGCATTGGACGTGATGATGTCAAAGGACAGTCCACCTCCGGAGTGTCATCTGCTGTGGGAACTGGGGATCAGGTAAGGTAACGAACAAAATCACTCCCCTAGACTAAAGAAGCAGTTAACCTTTGCAGTGCCAAGGAATGATATTTTTTAAGTTTCATGAGCTTTAAAAAAATGTAGTTACTAATCTATGTTCTGATTTGTGTTTTCAGTATAAATATAAGGCGGACTTTGAAAAGTCTAAAGGAAAAATGATTGGTCTTCGGAGATTGGAGGATGACTTGAACCTTTCACACTCTGTCCATACCTCTTCTCTGCTCAGTGAGGTAAGTCACCCTCCTCTCTGGCCACCTACCTACATCTTCTGCCTATTCAAGAAGGGGGGGGGAGGGTCAGAAGGACCTTTTGGTCAAGCCCATGTCTCAAAGGGTACCTCAGCTTTGCCAAGCTGCCTGTTTCTCCAACGTGAAGTAAATCCAAGGCAAAACAACGGGTTCTAATAATTATTGTTACCTGGAGAAGAGAATTGGCAACTGGCCACTCTGTCACTTAGCAATGCATTGTGGGGGTCACATGTTCCCCATACTCAAGTGCAATGTATATTACCCTTTACTCACTTTACAGACAGAGCACCTAGCACACTGGCATTTAGGTTAACCTATTTATTGCTCATAATGGGCTAACCACAGGTTCACTTCAAGGTGAATGGCAACACTATTTAGAAGCTGCAGTTATTTGCACATTGTCACAGCCAGGACAAAGGGTGGACAGGAGGGGAAGCTGCCCTGGGCACAGTGGTGTGGGGGGGGGGGGGGCATCCCCTCACCTCCCCTCACTTCCCCTCACCTCCCGCATACTACAGACTGGTGGCTGGAAACCAGTGGGCCAGAGCTTCATGTTTGTTCTAACAGCTACTCACTCACCACCTCTTCTGCCCATAACTGATGCACTAAGTTCTAGCTGCTAGAAGACAAGGGATTGACCATGCATTTGCCAACCATGGACAGCCAGATCAAGGAAACGTAGAATAATAATAAATGCTAATAAATAGGCAAAGGGTGGTACACCGATGATATATCATGCATTAGCAGCGAGATAGGGATAATATCCTTGCCTTGAGTGTTGGATGAGCCTGTCCTGGTACCACACAACGTGCCACTGTCCTGCTTCTTCTGTGATCGTTGGACTAATAGTGACCCCCACCTTGAGCTCTCTTCCTCTTCTGAGCCTGCTTACGTTTCCACTCCTCCTACCTACGTATCTGCTTCTAGAACACTCCCACTGAAAGCCTGATTTCAGATACCATATACCAACTCCATATCCGTATATAAAGATTTCACTAAGAAACTGACTTTAGGAGGAAGTCTGTGAACTGAATGCTTCCAGTATGATGTGGAGATTCAGCAGGACCATTTGGTCAAGGCTGTGTCTTAAAGGGTGCCTCAGCTCAGTCAAGGTGCCCTGGAATGGCTTCCTTCTGAAACCTCTGAATTGTGACTCCCCATCGTGTCCCTGCACAGGTTCAGTACAAGAAAGGCTTTGAGGAGAGCCGCTCTCAGTTCCACCTACCAATGGACATGGTGAATTTGGTGCACGCTAGGAAGGCTCAAGCTTTGGCCAGCAATCAGGATTACAGGCATCTGCTCCACCATTACACAGCGCTGTCCGATGACCTGCGGTTGCTGACTGCTAAGAGAGCCTACGAGCTGCAGAGTGAGGTACGTTTACAGCAACTATAATGAAACAAGAAGAGGGAAATATTAAATGTCTTTAATGCCTGCCTAGAGGTATCAGATGACTTAATTTTGAAGCAGATTTAGCATTTGCCAAAATTTTATCAAAATTTGACCTCTAATTTAATGTGTTGAAATTAACATAAAAAAAAGTGTAAGAGCATGGAGCACTCCTGCTGTAAGGCCCTGACACCATGTGACATGGCTTTGTTAGTAAACAAAGTCATGTGATTTCCAAGAAAGTGTTGTTATGGTGGTCACATGACTTTGTTTATAAACAAGGGGCTAGGGTCTACTTTAGGGTTAGCACTAAGATTACCATTGGGCATTTTTGGCACAAGAACAGGTCCAGGATAGTTGAACGGAGCTTCTGTAACTCACAGGAGAAATTTAAAGCTCATTGCAGCCTAAACGTTGAACTCAGGGAAAAGAAAATATTGTCTACCTAAAGTAGTCACATGTACTCTTCCTTGAATTTTGTGCTTCCTCCAGATCTGGGCAGTAATTCAGTGTGAGACTTTTCCTGTGATAATGTCCGCTCACTGCTGCCCTCTCTCCTTATGCAGGGCGACTGGTCTGGTCTCCTCCCCCTCCTGTAGTTTTCTGCAGGCAGCCTGTAGTGGGTGGAGCCTTCTAGGCCCCTCCCACAGCTCTGCCCTCTGCACAGGCTATGTACAGAACAGTGATTATATCACCGATACTTTTACAAACGGTATTGTGGTTTGCACTTTTTGGCTATTGAGGAATTGTTCAGGTTTAAAAACCAGAAAAAGCCTAATTTCCTCTTCCCCGTTGACCCTCATATTTCGCCAATATGTCATGATTTTTCCTATAATCTCGGGAAAGCAAAATCGTCCAGTTTTACTCCTGCAAAGTCATTATTGTCATCTCTGCCTTATCATATTCCGGGGTTCAATGGATTCTAGTGTTTTACCCCAATGAATCCTTCACAGAACCTGAATAACTAATATTTGTCGTTGACAGCCATATCATTCAATGTATAGAGACATTGAGCTGAATGATGGTTAAAGTGTATCTCTAGACAAAACTAGTGAGGAAGGGGTTAAGCCAGCCATAGAAGAATCAAATCTCGGCTCAGCAGGGATGGGCTGAGATTCGATTGACATCAGTACAACCAGCCCATCAGATTCTTTGCATGTGATTGCTGACGGTGGCTATAGCCTCCAGCAGTGATCATTGTGTTCTGCTGGAAGGGAAGGCGTCCCGCTGGCAGAACACAATAGCACTTCAGGAAGGATTCCTCCATCAACACTGACTGTATTGATGGGGAAATCAGGAGATTTTCTTTCCTGCAGCCTGTGGTTGCAGGATAGAAAATTGCATCATCTATGGCTTGCCTTAGACCCTCTGTCAGGTTTTATTACTGGTACATGCATAGGCTAGGTTCACATCAATGCAGGCTGCAGTTGATATGTTTTTCTGGCACATTTTGTGGTGTGCTTTGCGTTTTTGAACATAGGTTTTTTGGCTAATAGGAAAGTATGACAATTCTGTTCATGTAATGTGGCTTTGATGTGACTTTACATTCTCTGGCATTCAAGTAGCATCAAAGTCGCATCAAAGTCTCATCAAAGTAGTGCAGGAACCATTATGTGTGCAGAGTCGCATGTCAGGGTTAGCAGTAATCGTGTTCTAACCCTAACAATTACCGCTAACCCTAACTCTAACCCGAACCCTAATATTTAGCCCTAACCCTAACATGTGACTTTGGACACATAAAAGTTCCTGCACTACTTTAATGCGACTTTGATGCTACTTGAGTGCCAGAGAGTGTAAAATCCCACCCAGGGGCAGACTGACCATTGGAAACTCAGGCACTGCCTGAGGGCCCAGAGTCAGTAGGGATATAGTAGTTAGAAAACTCGTAGATCCCCTGCTTGTCTTTTCCTTGCTGGAGATATTAATTGTTCATGTTCTGGCCCCAAAGAATCAGCAGGTGAGAAGAAATCTCTCCAAAGTGTGGGAAAATCAACGGAATAGGTGTCCTCAGGGGTGGACTGACCATTTGGAAACTCAGGCACTGCCCGAGGGCCCGGAGTCAGTGGGGATATAGTAGTTAGAAAACTCGTAGATCCCCTGCTGGTCTGTTCCCTGCTGGAGATATTAATTGTTCATTATCTGGCCCCAAAGAATCAGCAGGTGAGAAGAAATCTCTCCAAAGTGTGGGAAAATCAACGGAATAGGTGTCCTCAGGGGTGGACTGACCATTTGGAAACTCAGGCACTGCCCGAGGGCCCGGAGTCAGTGGGGATATAGTAGTTAGAAAACTCGTAGATCCCCTGCTGGTCTGTTCCCTGCTGGAGATATTAATTGTTCATTATCTGGCCCCAAAGAATCAGCAGGTGAGAAGAAATCTCTCCAAAGTGTGGGAAAATCAACGGAATAGGTGTCCTCAGGGGTGGACTGACCATTTGGAAACTCAGGCACTGCCCGAGGGCCCAGGGTCAGTAGGGGGCCCCATGAGATGCCCCTGGTACCTTTTTCATAGGCTTTTTTGAGTTTGGGTAAGGACACAGGGGACCCATGATCCCCTATTGCCCGGGGGCCCCATGAGTTGTCAGTCCGCCCCTGGTCCCACCAAAGTCACACTACATAAACAGAACGGTCATACTTTCCTATTAGCCAAAGAAAAAGAAAAAGCAAAACACAAAACTCATCAAAAACGCATCACTTGCGTTTTTGGTGTGGGTCCATTGAACTCTATTACACGCAAAACACAATCTGGTGCAGGAAAAAAGTCCCTGACCCTTTCCAAAAATCACACCGGCTCAAAACACATAGATGTGAACTAGATCCATAGGAAACCATGTTAAACGGACTGTAGTTCATTTCTGAAAAAATGTATTGGTGTGAACCAAGTCTAAGAGGCCTGAGATCTCCTATTATTAATATCCAGTGTTGTGAAAGACAGTCTTATTGGTCAAGCTTCAATTAGGATGCTCACATGTACCAGTCTCCCCAAAACAAGAATGGTTCTTGAAAAAATTCCGAATATATAAGAGGCAGTAAGAGCACCAAAACAATGGTCTAAAATGCTTTTGCGTTAGATAGTCACTGGAATAAGAGAATCAATGTGTTTCAGGGGTTCAGACTCTCTTTATTAGGGCTTATGTATTATGTAACCTCAGAAATGTCAACTGCATTGTGATGATAGCTTATGATATGATATGATATATACATACAGTGGGGATCGAAAGTTTGGGCACCCCAGCTAAAAATTTGTATTAATGTGCATAAAGAAGCCAAGGAAAGATGGAAAAATCTCCAAAAGGCATCAAATTACAGATTAGACATTCTTATAATATGTCAACAAAAGTTAGATTTTATTTCCATCATTTACACTTTCAAAATAACAGAAAACAAAAAAATGGCGTGTGCAAAAGTTTGGGCACCCTGCAGAATTTATAGCATGCACTGCCCCCTTTGCAAAGCTGAGACCTGCCAGTGTCATGGATTGTTCTCAATCATCGTCTGGGAAGACCAAGTGATGTCAATCTCAAAGGTTTTAAATGCCCAGACTCATCTGACCTTGCCCCAACAATCAGCACCATGGGTTCTTCTAAGCCAGTGGTTCTCAACCTTTCTAATGCTGCGACCCCTTAATACAGTTCCTCATGTTGTGGTGACCCCCAGCCATAAAATTATTTTCGTTGCTACTTCATAACTGTAATTTTGCAGTGGGAGGAGTAGTGCCACGTCATTGGTGTCAGTGAGAGGAGTAGTGTCCCATCACTGATGCCAATGGGAGGAATAGTGCCCAGTGGTAGGAATAGTGCCCCATCATTGGTGTCGGTGGTAGGAATAGTGCCCCATCATTGGTGTCGGTGGTGGGAATAGTGCCCCATCATTGGTGTCAGTGGTGGGAATAGTGCCCCATCATTGGTGTCAGTGGTGGGAATAGTGCCCCATCATTGGTGTCAGTGGGAGGAATAGTGCCCCATCATAGGTGTCAGTGGGGGGAATAGTGCCCCATCATTGGTGTCAGTGGGAGGACTAGTGCCCCATCATTGGTGTCAGTGGGAGGAATAGTGCCCCATCATTGGTGTCAGTGGGAGGAATAGTGCCCCATCATTGGTGTCAGTGGGGGGAATAGTGCCCCATCATAGGTGCCAGTGGGGGGAATAGTGCCCCATCATTGGTGCCAGTGTGAGGAATAGTGCCCATCATAGGTGTCAGTGGGGGGAATAGTGCCCCATCACTGGTGTTAGTGGGAGGAATAGTGTCCCATCACTGGTGTCAGTGGGGGGAATAGTGCCCCATCACTGGTGTCAGTGGGAGGAATAGTGTCCCATCACTGGTGTCAGTGGGGGGAATAGTGCCCCATCACTGGTGTCAGTGGGAGGAATAGTGCCCCAACACTGGTGTCAGTGGTAGGAATAGTGCCCCATCGTTGGTGTCAGTGGGAGGAATAGTGCCCCATCGTTGGTGTCAGTGGGAGGAATAGTGCCCCATCGTTGGTGTCAGTGGGAGGAATAGTGCCCCATCGTTGGTGTCAGTGGGAGGAATAGTGCCCCATCGTTGGTATCAGGGGGAGCAATAGTGCCCCAACGTTGATGTCAGTGGGGGGAGGAATAGTGCCCCATCGTTGGTGTCAGTGGGGGGAGGAATAGTGCCCCATCGTTGATGTCAGTGGGGGGAGGAATAGTGCCCCATCGTTAGTGTCAGTGGGGGGAGGAATAGTGCCCCATCATTGGTATTAGTGACATCAATGATTGGGCACTATTCCTCCCACTGACACCAATGATACTTACCTTGCTGACCCCTGCTCCAGCCTGGGCTCGCTCGCTCCCTCCCTCTCCCATGGTACAGACACTTACCGGTCAGATGTCTTCCTTCTCCGGCCGCTCTCCTCCTCTTCACTCGCTCGATCTTTGCGGTGCCGTTCGGCTCCTCCTCTCCAAGCTCCAACTCCTCGCTGATGATTGGCCGCCTGTGTGCCTCTCCTGAGCTACAGTTCCGGTGGCCAATCACCGGCGAGGATTGATCCCGGGGGTGTGTCCAGATGACAGGAACGGCATGTCATCCCACCCACACCTGGAGACGGATAGAGCAGCGGTGTCTCGGTTCCTAAAGCCATCGGAAATATGTGTTTTCCGATGGTCTTAGGCGACCCCTGTGAAAGTGTCGTTCGACCCCCAAAGGGGTCGTGACCCACAGGTTGAGAACCGCTGTTCTAAGCAGTTGTCTAGAAAACTGAAACTGAAAATAGTTGACGCTCACAAAGCTGGAGAAGGCTATAAGAAGATAGCAAAGCGTTTTCAGATGTCAATATCCTCTGTTCGGAATGTAATTAAGAAATGGCAGTCATCAGGAACAGTGGAAGTTAAAGCAACATCTGGAAGACCAAGAAAAATATCAGACAGAACAGCTTGCAGGATTGTGAGAAAAACAATTCAAAACCCACGTTTGACTGCACGATCCCTCCAGAAAGATCTGTCAGACACTGGAGTTGTGGTACACTATTCCACTATAAAGAGATACTTGTACAAATATGCTCTTCATGGAAGAGTCATCAGAAGAAAATCTCTTCTACGTCCTCACCACAAAAATCATTGTTTGAACTTTGCAAATGAACATATAGACAAGCCTGATGCATTTTGAAAACAAGTTCTGTGGACCGATGAGGTTAAAATTGAACTTTTTGGACGGAATGAGCAAAGGTACGTTTGGAGAAGAAGGGGCACAGAATTTAATGAAAAGAACCTCTGTTAAACTGTTAAGCATGGGGTTGGATCAATCATGCTTTGGGGTTGTGTTGCAGCCAGTGGCACAGGGAACATCTCACGAGTAGAAGGAAAAATGGATTCAATAAAATTTCAGCAAATTTTGGATGGTAACGTGATGCCATCTGTGAAAAAGCTGAAGTTAAAGAGAGGATGGCTTCTACAAATGAATAATGATCCTAAACACACCTCAAAATCCACGGGGGATTACATCAAGAGGCGTAAACTGAAGGTTTTGCCATGGCCTTCACAATCTCCTGACCTTAACATAATTGAAAATCTATGGATAGACCTTAAAAGAGCAGTGCGTGACAGACAGCCCAGAAATCTCAAAGAACTGGAAGACTTTTGTAAGGAAATGGGCAAAGATACCTCAAACAAGAATTGAAAGACTCTTGGCTGGCTACAAAAAGCGTTTACAAGCTGTGATACTTGCCAAAGGGGGGGCAGTACAAGATATTAACTCTGCAGGGTGCCCAAACGTTTGCAGACGCCATTTTTTTGTTTTCTGTTATTTTGAAAGTGTAAATGATGGAAATAAAATCTAACTTTTGTTGACATATTATAAGAATGTCTAATCTGTAATTTGATGCCTTTTGGAGATTTTTCCATCTTTCCTTGGCTTCTTTATGCACATTAATACAAATTTTTAGCTGGGGTGCCCAAACTTTCGATCCCCACTGTATATATATATACAATTAGATCACACCAACAGCAGCCTATGCAGCATGAAGAAACTGCTAGGGGTAGCATCTGTTTTTTTACATACAACTATCTTCACAATCCAGTTGAGTCCAGCCATATTTAAGGTCATATAATCCAGGGTTATGCTAAAAGATAGAGCATATTTCAACTTTTTTTTTATCAAACATGCTGGAACAATGACATCACAAGTAGCTGGTGGTCACCCAGTGATGTCATCAGGTAGCCCCACCCCTTAGCTTATTTAACAGTGAGAGGTGGCAGAGCTGTCATTCGGCGGAAGCCTTCGTCGGATGTAGAGCACTTTTTTTTTTTTGCTCCGATTGGCGTTCATCATGATTGACGCTGGAACTACACTGGTGAACAAGTTTTACTTTTTTTTTAAAAAAAATAAAGGACTTGCAAAAAACTGTTGTGGTTTTTACTCACTTTTACTACTTTTTTGGTGGGGTTTGTGAGGAAGAGACCCTTGCCCTCATCTACATGTGGATAAGGTGTTTTGGGGCATGGGGAGCATCCGTTTTCTTTACATTCAACTGTCAGCGGGGAATCCCGCTGACAGTTGAAGGCACATTCATTCTTAAGGATGGGGTGGCCAGCTTGCTGGCCTGCTCCTTAACAACTAGCTATTCACTGATTGTTAAGGAAGCTGGTGTCCCTGCCTCTTAACGCTACTTACACATTGTGCTTAACAAATGCCGGCATAAAATGTTAAAATATTAGCATTTTTTTATCCTGCGTTTTTTTTTTTTTAGCAGTATTTAGGTTCTAGTGTGCATGAAGCCAAAAAGTTGAAATCTGCTCCATCTTTTTGAATAACCCTGTACTTAAGCTCTGATGAAGAGCAACTGCCTGACACCCCAAAATGCGTTGGATCTCTTATCTCGATGAATACTGTATCTAATAACAAAATTGACTTTTTGACCTTTTGTGTGGCGCTGTTATATTTTCTTATTTATTTAGGCGTTATTGCTGTCTGTGTCCCCGTGTTGGAAATCACCTATTCTATTTCTCCTGGTGAGCCTGGTCATGTGATGGGAAAATCCAAACTTTTACACTTGTCACCAGAATAGATACATAGGAGAAATCTTCCAATGGAAATAGCTGTTCTTGTAACAACTGTCCCCACTTTGAGAGATTTCCAGTGTGGGTTTCCTTTCAGTATGAGTTGGTAGCCCAACTTAAAGTACAACTAAAGGCAAAACTTTTTTTTAGCTTTGGATAGATTCAGGGGCGCCCCTAGGGTTGGTGTCACCCGGTGCGGTAACACTTGGTGACACCCCCTCCGATGATCCCTGCAGGATGGATCGGAACTGCGGATTGAGAATAATGGATCGGACTCACCCCGTATAGGTTGCATGCCGACGATCCCCGCAGGATGATTCGGATCTGCGGATTGAGCATAATGGATCAGAGTCCGATCCATTATGCTCCCCAATCCGCAGATCCAATCCATCCTGTGGGGATCGTTGGCTTGCTTTACAACTTACCTTTTTGTGGAACGGGCCCGGTGTCACCCCCCGTGCGGGCCGCACCTGCCTCGGGACACTCCTGGATAGAATGGAGATGGATTAGAATACCTGTTAGAGTTTTTAGCTGTCTATGTCCCTGGCACATGGGCAGCACAGTGGCTAAATGGTTAGCACTTCCACCTGGCAGTACTAGGATCATTGGTTCAAATCCTGCCTGGAATTTGCATGTTCTCCCCCCACGCCTGTGTGGGTTTCCTCCGGGTACTCCGGTTTCCTCCCACACTCCAAAGACATACTGTTAGATGAATTGGATCCTGTCTAAGTTGACCCTAGTATGTGTATGTATGAATGTGAGTTAGGGACCTTAGATTGTACACCCCTTGAGGGTTAGGGACTGATGTGAATGTACAATATATATGTAAAGCACTGTGTAAATTGACAGCACTATATAAGTACCTGTAATAAATAAATAAATAAATAAAATATTTGTCCTGTTTACCTTTCTCATTGAAAGTAAAAGAAACCCCAAATTTTGTGTTGTCCCCAGAGAAGTAATAGAAGAGAAATCTTCCAATGTGGACACTAGTTCTGGTGACTTGGGGGTCATCAAGGAATTCCCCTAATTTGCAGCAATTTTCTCCCTTCCTGTTTTGGCTATGGGACAGGAAGTGAAGGGAAATCTCTCCAATGGGACATCAATGGCACAAAATAAACTAATAGGGGCCATAACCTTGAAAAAAAAGTTTTCCCTATAGTTTTACTTTAATGCTCCAAATGCAAGTTTTTTTCCAACGATACAACGCAACATTTTATTTTTCCACTTTTGATCTTCTGGTTGGCAGAACCGGTACCGGTCTGACCTGAACTTTATGAGAGGTGTGGGCTGCATCATCCCAGGAGCTCTGGACATTGAGGAAAAGAAGAGGGCATCCGACCTGATTAGCGAGGTAATCATTTTACTTTATTAATGTATATCTAAAGCTAGAACTTTTTTTTGTACTTTTGTAGGGAGTTTTGGAGTGGGGAAGAGCCAGAACCCCGGTTTTAGTTCTGCCTGTGTCCCCACTGGTGATACTCATCCTCTCTGTTTGTACTGGTGACCATTGTAACTGTATTAGAAAGTGACGGAACATCACAAATTACCAATTACCAAAAAAACTTTAACAATGTCCACAAGGGATTTGTAGTATACCCTGTCCTTCCGCCATGCTGCTGCTCTACTCAGCTGCCAAAATGACAGCTGGGAGTTTCTGTGTAAATACAGCAACTGTCTGACACGGTGTTTATAAACATTGTTCATGCAGAGATAGAGAGATACAATGTAACATTGATACTTTTGTATGTAATCTGTTTCATTCATCTGTATATCAAAGTGATGAGCTCTAATCTGCATTGGATGTCAGGTAAGCTAACCTAACAGGTAAAATAAATAAATGTGTCCTTTAAGTGGTATTAAACCCCAAAACAAAAATATAATAAATTGATAAAATATAATAAATTGCAACTTTACCAATCACTAGATGTGGTGGCTACATTAGATTTCTTTTTCTTGCTTTTCCCCTCTGTTTTCACCTGGTGATCTGGCCAGTAAATCACCTCCTGTATTGGAGCGCCCCCACCAGGGGTGGACTGACCATTTGGAAACTCGGGCACTGCCCGAGGGCCCAGGTCAGTAGGGGGCCCCATGAGATGCCCCTGGTACCTTTTTCATAGGCTTTTTTGAGTTTGGGCAAGGACACAGGGGCCCCATGATTCCCTATTGCCCAGGGGCCCCATGAGTTGTCAGTCCACCCCTGGCTCCCACTCTGGATGAAGGAGCCCAGGGGGCACATTTGGACAGCAACACTGTTAGTCTGGGGGGAAGGGAGTGTTAAATGTACTAGCATATTTAGATACACTAACAAATTAAAGCCAAAACTTCAGCTAACACTTTATAATCAGTTACAGCAAGCAGTTTGGTTCCTTTTGGGATAAAGGTTTTACATGAATAAATTAAAGCTGATCGTTGTAAGCACCCCTGACAGTGGTAAATGGTTTTCCTCAACACTGTAAACTAATTCATCTGCAGGACAGCTTGTTCTTTTGAAAAACAACAGAATTACAGGTCATATCACTAGGTGAAACTAGAAGAAAGAAAGCCTAAAAAAAAAAAGAAAGCAGCCATCACATCTTAGAATTGGTAAGCTGCAAAAAAAAAGACTGCTTTTGGATTTAATACCATTTTCTATTAACTCTTTCTTCCATTCCTCCCCTTAACTATTATTTTCATGCTGATTTTTTAAAATGTTTCCCTAACTTTAAATTTTTTCTTTCTTTTTTGGTTGTTAAATTTGCAAAGTTAAAAAAAGACCCTTTATTTCATTTGTAAATTACTTTGCAATGTCACAATAACAATTTTAGCATAACTTTTAAACAGGACAAACTATAAACTACAATTTATATATGTAATATACAGTAACAATTTTTTTTATAACTAACACCGATCAAAGTAGAAAAAAGTATGTTAGCTGTTTTGTATTGTCACCTTTTTTGTCTACGGGTTGCTTAAAAAATAAAATAATTTTTGCAAGACATTTTCACCAGGGAAAAGCCTTGTTTGTCCTAAAAATATGTATTACTTTTTATTGTAATTAATGAAAAAGTTATTGCAGGAAAAAAGACCCATAGCAGAAATACAAAAATTGCTCTGGTCCATAGAGGGTGTACAGGTTTGAGAGCTGAATTTTTCACTGACAACTGTCCAAGAGGGAATTTTCCCTTGATTCCTGTTGTGTAGCAGGACAGCAGAGAAAATCTTGCAATAACAAACAGACAGCAAAAAAAAAAAAAATCAAGTCAATGGCATCGCTGGGTCTAAAGTATACTGTGTGTAGTGAAAACGGAAAAGTTTATTTAAAAATGTCATTAGTATGTTGATGAGGGAGGAGAGAGGAACCAAGAAAGGCAAATCATAAGCAGATTAGGGCTTCAGTCATACTTAAGCGACTCCAAAGTTGTGTGATTTCCATTGTGACTTTACATTGCGACTTTACATTGCGACTTTGATGCAACTTTGGCTGCTGATAGCATTAGAGTGATTATAAAGGCTCAAGGCTTTTTTTTTTACCTCTATACATTTTATGTGTGCAGCAGTGCTCCCAGCCACCTCAATACTCACCTTAGCCCACCAGGATCCGTCGATGTGCACAACAGCTTTGGCTATCCTGGATCTCTTCCTCCTTATTGGCTGAGACAGAAGCGGGAGCAAATGACTCCCACTGCTGTCGATCAAAGCCAGTCAAACACACAACAAACACTTTACTCCTGCGCTAGGAAAGGACTCAGTAGACCCAATAGGAATGTTCTGGAATTTTCTGGAATATGCACTGCTTGCTGCCCTCAACAGACCGGGGTGGTCCAAATACACTGGATACAAATGGAGAAACAGAAAAAGGGCGCACCGACCTAGTGCATTATCGTTTAAAATATTTATTGAAGAAACAAAAATAGGTATCATACTCACAATGGACATAATAACACAGGCATGTCAAACTGAACAAGATGTATGATCCAAACAACATCTGAGTCCATAATATGGAACCCTGGGTGATCAACTGGCTAACGCGTTTCGAGGACACAACCTCTTCCTCAGAGCCAACCAATCAAAGCCAGTCAGCCAGTGAGGAGAGGCGGGGGCCAGGCCACGGCTTCGTGTGTAAATGGACACACGGAGCAGCGGGTGCCCCCATAGCAAGCTGCTATGGAGGGGCCAGGTGAGCCTGCAGGGGACCCGAGAAGAGGAGGAGCCAGGCTGCTCTGTGCAAAACCACTGCACACAGCAGGTGAGTATAGATATGTTTGGTATTTTACAAAAGAAAACAAAATGAGCCTTGATATTGCTTTAAGAAGCAACTTTTTTGAGAGTTTACATTGCAGTCTATGGCACTCAAGTTGCATGAAAGTGCAGGAATGTTTTTTAAGTGGCTGCGACTTTAAGTTGCATAGATTTGAACGGCTTCCATTGAAATACCTAGGCTATGACTTGTTAAGCGACTTTATGGTTCCAAAGTCGCATGAAAAGTCTCCCAAGTGTGAATGGAGCCTTAACCTTAAGATCTGAAGGTTTCACTCTTCCAATTCTTATCTCTGACTGCAGACCAAATACCGACAACAGCCCTATCAGCTGAAATATACGACAATCACTGACTCTGTGGACCTTCTGCATGCCAAGTTTAGCAACAAGATCACCAATGAGGTAAGAGGTACCACTGGGTTCCCACCAATTTTTGTGCCTGAGCTGATTTTTATTGCTAATATTCATTTTCAAAAATTAGATATGCCTCCAAGTAATACATTATCTTGGCTGCATCATATAAATACAAGCAAAACATTAGTCTTTTGTGTCAGGTTGCATGGCCAGATGCTTCGTATTGTAGTAACACGGGGCAAGTTGTGTGCTTTACTATGTGCTCTATAATGCCCAGAGAACTGCAGTGCGCTGTAGTGCCAGTCATTTTGAATGCTCTATGAATCAGTGGTGCACAATATAAAATACAGTGTATACCATATGTTCAATCTTCATCATAAAGTGCCTGTGCAATTACATAGTTACATACTGTAGTTAGTCTGGCTGAAAAAAGACAAAAGTCCATCCAGTTCAACCATAGAACGTGACTTCATCAAGAGTCATTTTGAATGGCAGCCCAATTTACATTGGGTAGGTTAAGTCAGTTCTTGCCACATGGCCTACTGCACATTTTAAATGATGGAGGGTTCAAGACCTAAATGTCACCGCCACTCTGGTTCATATTCCTTGGCCTCGTTGGTAAACACCCATACACATACACAGGAGGGGCCCCTCTGCTTCTGATGGCTCCAAATCTAGTCTTTTGGATATTCCATCTGAGCATCTGGGCCCACATAACATGGGGGTCCTAAATTATTGGTTCATGGCACCACAGGGTGACCCTTTTATCCACCACTAGACAGGCTGACTCTCCTGAAGTAGACTACTACCATTTTCCTGACTGGAACCAATTCTTTTTCCACTGAGGCTCTCAAGCTCTCCTTGCTTATCCACTCTGAGGGAATTGGTCCAGGCTTGCCCTCAAAGGGGAAAACCGCACAGTAGGCCTTTACATGCTCCCAAAGCAGCCCCACTGTCCCACTAGTGCAAACTATCATCCTCACTTTACTTCACTGAATGCTCAGACTTCTCTGAACCTCCAAAACTCAACTAGGTCCCTCTTCATTTCCCTTGACCCTTACCAAAGTATGGAGCCAACCTAGAAATAGCAATCCAAACAAACCCAAAGGGGTCATAAACAGTGGCCCTATACCTGCTATATACAACACACTGCCTGGCCCCTCACAGCAGCCATGGACTGCCTGCATTGTGCAGAGAAGTACAGAGGTCTAAAATAGGTCTGAAAAAAAAAAAAGTTTTTTTCTAAAAATGTTATTTGTGTATTAATGAGGGGGAAAGGGGAAACCCAAACCCATTATGTTACATGTAAGAAATTACATTGTTTACTAACAATGTGATTTCCTTTCCAGCGACTCTACAAAGCAGCCGGCGAAGACATTCTTCATCATTACACCACCATTTTGGAATTACCGGAACATGTCCGTGCCAAACTCAATGCCGCCAATCTCAGTGATGTGAGTGAGCCGACCTCAGTACTAGTACAGAATTTTTTGTGTAAATATAACCATCCATAATGCATCCATTGAGTGCATTCAGATTTAAAAAGTCAGTCCCCCTGAAACTGATATTTAGTTATAGGTGGAAATTGGTAGGCTGAGTCAACCCCTGGCTTCTTAAAATTCTTATATATCTTGAATGTGCCCAGAATGGGATTAAATCTCCCTGCCAAAATTTTGGAATCTGTTCTGGTCCACCTGGCCACCTGGGAGCTTTTGGTGTCTCTGCCCACATTTGTGTATCTTACCTACCGTGAGGTCTTTCTGCTCATCTTTGTGTGTCCTAGATCCTTTTGTTACATTTTCCCATAATATGAAATGATGAAAGATGCAGTAGGGATGGTGAGAACTCACAGGGATAGTGGGAGCTCCTAATAATGGGCACTGCAGGGGTGCAGACTCTCAAACTCAATGCAGGGGTGTGGAGCCCCTCATAGTGAGCCCAGAAGGTGTGCAGACCCCTGAACTCAGTGCAGGGGTGATGGGAACCCTTCGCAATGGGCACAACAGGTATATGGATCCAGAAATTCAACACAGGAATGACGACAACCCCTTGTAATGGGCACAGCAGGTGTGCAGAATGAGGAACTCTGTGTAGGGAAGGAAGAAGCCCTCACAATAGGCACAGCAGGTATGCAGACCTGGGAATGTAGCGCAGGGATTCTGGAAATGCTCATACTGGGTATAGAAGGTGTGCAGACCTGGGAACTCAGCACAGAAATGATGGGAAACCCCTTCTGATTCCACAATTGTTGACATGTCACCTCTTCTTTCCCCTGCTGATACAAGGTATTCAATTGGCCAGATGGTTTGATTACGTGTTTCCTCTATTGCACACAGGGGTTCCTCCTAATGGCTAGAATGTCTTGTCATATGAGTCTTCATAGGCTTCAAAATAGGATGCTTCTTAGATGGATTAGACCTCACCAATTGCCTTCCTTGGTACATGCAATGATTGGGCACAGACTCCTCTTTAACTTTCCTTGATACCCTTTGGTGGGTTTTCCTGACAGCAGTGGATGCAGAATGTGGTCTATGGGCACTGGGTGATCTGCTTTTTGCATTCCATGCCCATGGACATCTAAGTTGGTTGGCAATAGGAAGAAGTTGGGACCACTGATCTACATTGATTATACATTAATACATAGGAGGGAAACCCGAATTCCTACTGAGTTGTGTTTACTGTATGACTATATAGCCTTATCTGATTGTCTCACATATTGTATTGACAGATAAAATATCGGGAATCCTGGCTCAATGCGAGGGCCCAGGGCCACAAGCTGACCATGGATGCGCTCCAGTTCCAGACTGCCAAGTCCTCAGGAAAAATCGCTAGTGATGTAAGTACAGCATGGCGAAAAAAGATGGAAAACCTTAATGTGTGTTCAGTAGACGTCTACAATTTTGACATTTAGCTGGAATCATTTTGACCTGACTTCTGCTCATCACTCTCTAGCTCTTGCATATTTTCATCATTGTGTTGTCTTATAATGGTTTGTAAGTTTTCTGTTTAGTGGTCACCTACATATCTGAGAAAGTGATTGGAGAGAAGCAGTAAAGCACAGTCGCTGTGTTGGAACACTAAGTAGGAAACAGAGTCTGAACATACAAATATTAGTACTCCCTAATAAAATGTACATTCATTTTAAACTCCATTTAAACCACTAAATATGAAGCTGAAATATTTTGTATATAAGAATTGTCTTGATTTACCATAGTTTTTGTAATTTTCTTTAGCTAGTCTTGTAATCCAGACAATACAGGTTGGTGACTTCACTTTTTTCCACTTCAGTTAAACATTACAGAGTGGTTTCCAACCTGCCCAGTTTGCCAACTGGACAGGGAAAAAATGTCAGCAAGGCAATGTAGTCATCACCCTGCTCAGTCTAATATATCCTCCTGTCAGCAAACCCCCAGTGTTGGACTTATAGTATTGTGTTATAGAGTCAGGCTGGTTTAGTTTATATTGCTGCCCTTTTCTGAGCCAGTGTGGGCCATTCAGGGGCGGACTGACAACTCATGGGGCTCCCGGGCAATAGGGATTATGGGGCCCCTGTGTCCTTGTCCAAACTCAAAAAAGCCTATGAAAAAGGTACCAGGGGCATCTCATGGGGCCACCTACTGACCCGGGCCCTCGGGCAGTGCCCGAGTTTCCAAATGGTCAGTCCGCCCCTGGGGCCATTCCATGCAGGGGATTATAGAAAGTAAAACAAAGACAGATCTGGTGATTTACCTTATACTAACAATGCCTACAAATACATTCATGGATTGTAGCATTTAAGAGATCTCTGTGCTCACCAATGAAATATACATAATTATTCAAACAACAATGTTCCATAAAGTGTATATGATGTTTGTCCCCAGTAATAGACAATGAAACTCTTTATCTATTACAAACATCACATGGACATTCATGTAACCTTGCTTCACTGTTTGGCTTCTTATGTATATTTCATTGATGAGTGCAGAGATCTCTTAAGTGTTAAAAATCTATTTTCTCACTTTTTTGCATAATTCAGAGTATCCATTTCCTTTGAAAACTGTTTATTCATTTTTTGATCCTCTAAACTCATAATCTTTTAACATTTTTGTAAAAATAAATTCATGTTAAATGACATTTTTTGTGATAAACTATTCAGAAAATAATTTTATTGATGCTCCATTTTCTAGAATTCCACATAAAGAAACTCTGGTGGGGTCAGTGTAATGTGATGTTTGTGATCTTCCTCCACAGTACACATACAAACATGAATATATCTCGGAGAAAGGAAAGCTCATTGGGTCTCGGAGCATTCTGGATGACCCCAAGATGCTGCATTGCCTTCGTGTCGCCAAGTTGCAAAGTGAGCGCCAGTATAAACTGGATTCCCAGCAGCTTCACTCGCAGTACCACCTTCCCTCTGACATGTTGGACCTGGTCCATGCAAAGAGAGCTCAGGCACTGGCCAGTGACCAGGACTACAAGGTGCTTCTCCACCATTACACAGCCGAACCAGAGGATATGAAGCTCCAGTGGGCCAGGAGGGCTCACCAACTGCAGAGTGAGGTACACAATACACAGATCACTGGTTTATATAATGGAAGTGTAGCACTCACCCCCTCAGGAACGGTTGGTCTCTACATGATACCCCAAAACCGCAAAATATTCTGTGTCTGACTATATCAGCAACTAAAATGACTGGTAGCTCTAATGTCTCTAATAGCAGCCTTTCAGAAATATCAAAGTTGATGGGGACCCTAGATCCTTAATTAGAAGCCTCCTAGTTACAAATATTTCCTTTAAAAGAGAAAATATTAGTTGCCATAGATTCAAGAGTAGCAGGCTTGCTGTTACAATGGATGCTTTTAATACCTCTTTGTGGCCCTAGATATTGCAGTAGCAACATCCTATTGGAATTTGTCCTCAGTGATGTCTAAGGCAGATAAATATTCATAACCAGGGGCGGACTGACAACTCACAGGGCCCCCGGGCAATAGGGGATCATGGGGCCCCTGTGTCCTTGCCCACACTCAAAAAAGCCTATAAAAAAGGTACCAGGGGCATCTCATGGGGCCCCCTACTGACCCTGGGCCCTTGGTTAGTGCCCGAGTGCTCGAATGGTCAGTCCGCCCCTGTTCATAATTCAATATATTGTTCTTTCTCACACTAACTACTAGAGACAACTCAACAGCTGCAGGCAGAAACAATCAATGTCCTGAGTTTGGAAGTAAAGCCGGCCATAGACATAACCGACCAAGATTCAAACCATGTATGGGCAGGCTGAATGTACCCAAGTTGTTTGATCGATTTTACATGCCATTATGCTAGCGGCTGTCATAGCCACTAGCGATAATCACTGTTTTCTCCTGGTGGGGATGACTTCCCCGACCCCCCCAACATAACAGGAGGGATTCTTCTATCAACACTGTCTATGTTCATTGGGGAATTGAGTTCATTTATTTCCTGCAACCTATGGTTGCAGGAAAGAAATGTGTACCGTCTATGGCCTGCCTAACCCACAGAACATAGAAAACATAAACAGAGCTCAGGCTGGTTACAGCCTAGCCACTAAATTTAGCTAAGGACAGTCCAGTTTAAGGCAGGGTCCCTACATATGTAAGGACAGCAAGGGATTATATAGATTATATTAAAGACATGTCATGTGTACAGTATATGGTGGAGGTGGGATCATGACCATCATTTAGATCAGTGGTCTCCAAACTGTGGCTCAGGGGTCGGATGTGGCCCTTTGCTTGCCTTTATCTGGCCCTTGCAACACTATTCCTCCTACTGACACCAACAATGGGGGAATAATTCTTGCCCCTGACACCAACAATGGAGAACTATTCCTCCCAATGATACCAGTAATGGGCACTATTCTGCCCATCAACATCAATGATAGAGCACTATTCTAGCCACTGACACCAATGATGGGGCATGATTCTTCCCATTGACACCAATAATGGGGCACTATTCCTCCCACTGACACCATCAATAGGGGCATAATTCCTCCCAATAACTCCAGCAATGGGGCATTATTCATCCTACTGATACCAACCAATGATGCAGCACTATTCCTCCCACTGATAACTAATGATGAGGCATTATTTCTCCCACTGATAACCAATGATGGGGCACTATTCCTCCTACTGATAACCAATGATGGGGCACTATTCCTCCCACTGACACTAATGATATGGCACTACTCCTCTCACACCAATGATGGGGCACTAATCTTCCACTAAAGATGTGGCATTGTTTACTCCTGCTGATACCAGGACATTTTCTGCTCCCACTGGCCACAGCCTTCCCCCCCTAACGTCTGAGGGAAAGTAAACTGGCCCTTCGTTTAGAAGGAAAAGTAAACTGGCCCTTCGTTTGAGACCCCTGATTTAGATTGGATTGATAGATCCTAATCTAATGTGAGAATTCATGAGAATTGTGCCCGTATGTGGTAATAGTTACAATAGGTAGGTTGAACAAAGGCACATGTATAGTAAATTAAGCCTCTCACAAACTCCAACAGTGGAGCTCAGCCATTAATATAGTAAACAACTGCTTCCAGATCTTCACTACTCTTCCCATAAAGAACCCTCTCCAGAGCTTTGCTATGTTTCTTATAAACAGCTTAACCGCCCTTCCCATAAAGAACTCTTTCCAAAGCTCATTTACTTTTCACATAAAGAACCCTTTCACATCCTAACTACTCTTCCAATAAAGAACCCACTCTACATCTCAACTACACTTCCCATAAAGAACCCAGATTCTGGAAACTGAGTGTAGGGATAGTGAGGACCCTTAATAATTGGCGCAGCAGGTGTTCAGACCTAGGAACTCAATGTGGATGTGGTGGGAACTACTCATAATGAGCACAGCAGGTGCGCAGAGCCAGGAACCCATCACAGAGATAGAGAACCTTTGATAGGCACAGCAGGTATGCAGACCTTGGAACTGAGGGAGGTCTGGAACCCCTCATAATGGGAACGGAAGTTGCTCAGACCTGGGAACTCAGTGCAGGGATAGTGGATCACTTCATAATAGGCACAGCAGGTGTTTAGACCCAGGAACTCAGCACAGGGATGGTGGGAGCCCCTCATAATGGGCACAGCAGGTGTTTAGACCTAGGAACTCAGCACAGGGATGGTGGGAGCCCCTCATAATGGGCACAGCAGGTGTGCAGAACCAAGAACTCAGCACAGGGATAGTGGGAGCTCCTCATAATGGGCACAGCAGGTGTATGAAATTAGGAGCTAAGCACAGGGAAAATAAGGTAACCCTTCATAATTGGCAGAGAAGGTATGTAGACCCAGGAACTCAATGCAGGGATGGTGAGAACCCCTCATACTGGCCCAAAGGATTTGTGTAGGCCAAGGTACTCAGCACACAAACTTAACCAATATAGTCCCTGGCAGATAGAAGAAAACTGTCAGGTGGTTTATCAATGAAATATTAGTTTTAGGTGGACTGAACCTTTAATAATAAGTATTACTTACAAACTCCATTCTCTTTCTTGAAACAAGTGCACCAATCCCATTACATCCTTCGCACTCACAGCGGCAGTTCACTGCCTAATTGTGTTCAGTCTTCAGTATCAGCATTTGAGTTTTTCAGAACAGGTTGAACTTAAAGGACTTTGTCAGAACTTTGTTTCACAATACTCAGAAAAGTGGGACACTTTTACTTTTTACTCCACTTTAATGACTTGTTCCCTAACTATTTCAGTACGTTACGCCCTGGAACAGACGAAGCGTGACAGCTGAAAGTTCGCCCCGCTGAATTCTGTTACTGCGCGATTGTCGGCATTGAGTTTATTAGCAGGAATAAGGTCCTGTAATTGCAGCGAGATGACACTTTACATAGCGCAGGAGTGAAGTGATTAGCGTCCCCATTATTAATTAAGCTCTGTGAAAATAATACAACACAAGGAATTCTTGATGGGGAGAAACAAGCTCGCTTAATTCACTTGAGGTCTCTCTCTCATATCAGACATGATTTATTATTTACCGAAGTGTCGTGTGAACAAATGCAAACAGCTTCACTCTCTGAGGTTTGATGTGCATGGAAAATGAATAAGATCCAATTAAATTATTAATACAGATCAAAGACGCTCTTTATACCTCTAATCATCTTGGATTGAAAGTATATCGTGCTGAAAAATGGATATCACACACTTCCAATCTAGCTGGAAATTGTAACTCACCACAAGATTTCCCGCTACATCTTTCCCATGTGTGGAGAAGATGTATGAAGAGCACCTGTTTACTAGAGATGGGTGAGATCACTGAGACGCTTCATATTCATGAGAACGCAAACTACCCATTCTCTAGACCATTGAAGTCACTGTGACACTTCATATTCATGAGAATGCAGCCTATCCATTCGCTAGAGACAAGTGATATCACTGAGAACGCAACCTACCCATTAACTGGTAACCATTGACGCTACCGAAACACTTCATATTCATAGGAACACAGCCTATCCATTGGCTAGAGTTAGTGACATCTCAAGACACTTCATATTCACGAGAACACAGCCCATCCATTAGAGTTAGTTACATCACCAAGATGCTTCTTATTCATGAGGACACAGTCTATCCATTAGCTAGAATCCGTGACATCACTAAGATGCTTAATATTCATGAGAAAACTCAGCTGATCCATTCACTAGAAACCAGTAACCTCTTTGAAATGCTTCATATTCATGAAAAAGTATCCTACCTAATTGCTGGGGACCATTGACAACACTGAGGATCTTCATATTTATGAGAATGCATCCTATCTATTGACTAGAGAGCAGTGACATTACTGAAACACTTCATATTCATGATGTCACAACCTATCCAATCACTGTAGACCAGTGACATTACCAAGACTCTTCATATTTATGTGAATGCATCCTATCCATTGGTTATAGAGCGATGACATCACCAAGATGGTTCATTTTCATGAGAACCTAGCTTATCCATTAATACATATATAAACATGTAAGAAAGTGCACACAAATATATAAAGTGACACTGTGCATCTATGTATGTGCCACTAGAATATGTGGCCAATATAAACGTGAAAGAAACACTGTGTCTAAAACATAAGTCCAGAGTGTAGGTGTGAACGAGATCTCAAATGATCTTCCGGTATCCAAAAGACACAGATTGTGGATAAGGTGACACAATTAAAGTGTAGATTGCGCACTCACCAGATACGCAACCTTTTTGCGCATTTGTATGATATAATAAGGACATCAGACATCTCATCAAAAAGGTCTGGTCAGATCTGGTCAATGCCTCCTTCGCTATCCCACGGTTTGCACTTAGCCTTCCCAAATGGTAACCACTCTGCGGATGTACCTGGCTCCCACAGGAGCTCAGAAAAAACAACAGAGGAGGCCAGTAGTGCAATATTGCCTTAGGATGTTTATTCCACACAATGGGTATGTATACAGCAAGAAAGCAAATAAAATAGATTACTGACCGATTGCAAGCTGCCGCCGGGACCCCTTGTGGTGCTGGCAGTAAGGCGTCAAAACAGCTGCAGCCCAACGACTCTGACGCGTTTCGAGCAAGTGCTCTTAGTCATAGGGTGTCCTGGCCCACAAGGGGTCCCGGCGGCAGCTTGCCATCGGTCAAATTCATTAAAAGGCATCCTATCCATTGACTAGAGACCAGTTACATCACTGTGATGCTTCATGATCATGAGATCTCAGCCTGTCCTTTCACTGGAGACAAGTGGCCTCATCAAGGCTCTTCATAGTTATGAGAACACATCCTATCCATTGACTAGAGAGGAGTGACATGACTGAAATGCTTCATATTTATGACAATTAAGCTTATCCTTTTAATAGAGACCAAAGACATCACCAAAACTCTCTTTATGAGAATGCATTCTATCCATTGATATCCATCACCGAGATACTTCAGATTCATGAGAATGCAGTCTATCCAGTTGCTAGAGACCAATGACATCACTGAAGATGCAACCTACCCATTAACTAGTAACCATTGACACTACCGAGGCACTTCCTACTTATAAGAACACAGGCTATCCATTGGCTAGAGTCAGTAACATGACTAGACACTTCATATTCGTGAGAACACAGCCTATCTATTGGTTAGAATTAATTACATCAACAAGACGCTTCATATTCATGAGAACACAGCCTACATTGAGTCAGTGACTCCACAGAGATACTTCATATTCATGAGAATTCAGCCCATTCATTCACTAGAAACCAGTGATATCACCGAGACACTTCAAATTTATGAGAGTGAAGCCTATCCATTAGCTAGAGACCAGTAACCTCTTTGAAATGCTTCATATCCATGAGAAAGTACCCTATAAATTTGCTGGGGACCATTGAAATCACTGAGGATCTTCATATTTATGAGAACACATCCTATCCATTGACAAAAGAGCGGTGACATTACCAAAACACTTCATATTAATGAGATCGCAGCCTATCCAATCACTGGAGACCAGTGACATCACCTAGATGCTTTATTTTTATATGAACGCATCCTATCCATTGGTTAGAGAGTGGTGACCTCACTGAGATGGGTCATATTCATGATAACTCAACTTATCCATTGGCTAGAGATCAGTGACTTCACCAAGATGGTCATGTTCATTAGAAGGCATGCAATCCATTGACTAGAGACCATTTACATCACCGTGATGCTTTGTGATTATTAAAACTCAGCCTATCCATTCACTGTAGACAGTGGCCTCATCAAGGCTCTTCATGGTTATGAGAATTCATCCTATCCATTGACTAGAGAGGAGTGACATCACCAAAATGGTTCATATTTATGACAGTGAAGGTTATCCTTTTAAAAGATACCAAAGATATTACCAAAACTCTTCATCTTTATGAGAATGCATTCTACTATTGATATCCATTCAGACTTAAGAGAGTGAATACTATCCATTGGCTAGAGAACAGTATCCTTATTGAATTGCTTCATATTCACGAGAAAGCAGCCTATCCATTGGCCAGTGATATCACTGAGATTTTTCATATTCATGAGTACACAGCCTATCTATTCACTTGAGACCAGTGACATCACCAAGACTCATTATTTATGAGAATGCAGCCTAGCTATACACCATTGACCAGTAACTAGTGATGTTAAAATCTGCCTGGATTCAATTCACCAGGTGTTTGGTGCCTCTAGTTTTAAATTCGACAAACCATAACTCAGAGGTGAATCTTATTGAAAATCTATGGGAGAGCAAATCTTGTTAAATTCTGGCCATTTTTAGGGCTAATAGGCAAACTAATGTACAAAAGAGGCTTGTGAACAGCCCCCTCTAACCACAGCTTAGACACCCATTTTTACTGCCCCTCGCCACCCATCTGAAAGAAGCCTACCTATGTCTAATATTTCACTATAGTAGTTTGTCAGCTTTCCCTACAACAGCTTCCAATTCAGTAACACAATGGGGTTGATTTACTAAAACTGAAGTTTGAAAAATCTGCTGCAGCTCTCCATAGAAACCAATCAGCTTCCAATTTATTTGTCAAAGCTTAATTGAACAAGCTGAAGTTAAAAGCTGATTGGCTATCATGCACAGCTACACCAGACTTTGCACTCTCCAGTTTTGGTAAATCAACTCCAATGGCTGCTTCTTTTTGCCCCTTTCATTTATAGTGAATGGTTGGCTTAACCAAAAGCCATTGGTGTTCTAAACCTGGTGGATTATAGTTTTTTAAAAATTATCTTGGGTAAATCTGCACATAAATTTGCCTGGACAGCAGATCTCAAGCATGCAGGATTCACCTTGAACCCATGGTAGTGGTGAATCCAAACCCCATCCCTATTGGTGACATCACCAAAACAATTCCCATTCATCAGAACACAGCCTATCCGGTCACTAGAGACAAATGACATAATCAATACAGAGTATATTCATGAAAATACAGCCTGTTCATTCACTAGAGAGCAATGACATTTCCAATAAACTATATATTCATGAAAATACAGCCTGCCCATTCACTAGGGACCAGTGACATCACAAGATTCTTCAGATTCATAGGAACGCAGCCTATCCATTCAGTAGGGACCACTGACATCATTGAAACACTCCTTATATTGAAAATGCAGTCTGCCCATTCACTATACCACCAACCACATTATGGCAACCTACCCGTTTAGTTGAGATCTGTGACAGTAACATGAAATGGTGCAGAATAGTTGAGTTTAACCAGTGAATATACAGGCTAAGTGAAAGACCACCTGTCACATGGAATATCCCTTTAAATGTCTGCTTTGCCTGGATAAAGGGGATCTTATGGCTTTTGACATTAATAATAGACCAGTATCTCATTTATTTTCTGCGCACATTACCAGTGTTAAATAAATATGTGAGTGAAAGCCAGCTGTAATGATTATACAATAAATATTTATTCCCCCCGTGCCAGGCTTGGCGCGCTGGGCCCTGTTCTCTCTATTATTCAATGGCTCTGGTTTACAAAGAAAGAATGATGTTTGATGTCTGTTCCTTGGGGAGATTCTATTAAACCTAATTATCCCATTCTTCTTCTTCTGCAGACTCGCTACAAATCGGACTTAAACTTTATGAGGGGAGTCGGCTGGGAGGCAGCGGGGTCTCCACAGATCGAGGGCGCCAAGAAGGCCGGAGAGCTCATCAGTGAGGAGGTCTGTATTAGCTGTGATTAGAGAGTGCAAGAGCAGCCATATTTACAGAGGCGACAGTCCACTTCCTGATATGGAATATTCCAGATTATTAAACATAGACTTCACCGTATTTTTTTTTTTAAAATTGGATTGGTAATTGATTACATTTTCTGTTGGGTAGCGTGTTATAGTGCTCCATGGCAGGTGTCATGAACTCATCCGTGACGTGGGATCTAAGCACCAGTTGGTCTTCACCAGTGCTCCTGATGGTAGAGATGAGTCACAAACCCTACTGGTCTTGGTTTGCTTTACTGAAAACTGGAACCAGGTGACCGCCCAACCATGGGCTGGCTGGAATGGAGAGGCTATGTTACGTGACAGTAGTTAGGTCCAGAAAGGATAGATGAGAATGAAGTTGGATCTATGAAGAGGTCTGAGCAGGCAGCAAGTAAGACAGTATTCAGATCAATCTTGGGCAGCAACAAACAGGCAACTGGCAGGAAATTATTAAAGGATAAGTTCACCTTTGGAAACATGTTACATGTTCCACCCGTTTTTAGGGTGGAACATGTAACATGTTCCCAATGCTGCAGCTACCGTCCGCAAACCCCCCCTAACTTCTGCAAACTTGATTTTGCAACAAATTTGCCAAGAAATTTCCCATTATTTCCTAAACAGAAAGTTTTGTTTGGGGTTGGGTTGTAAGTCTTTAGGTATGATGCTGACACTTTAATCTCATTTTTACAGACCAAATACCGTCAGAGCCCGGGCTCCATTGGGTTCACCACAGTGACCGACTCTCCTGAACTGCTTCATGCAAAGAACAGCTACCTCCAATGCAGCGATGTAAGACCCTCTTCCTACTAATGCTGAAAGAAAGCACTGAGATTACATGTGATAATATGAGGTTACCTTTTTTAGCATACTTGTCGATGAAAAGAGATGCATGGCTCACCGTTTAGGCACGTTTTGGTGCGTCAAGTGCTTGGGCGTTTCCTAATTTCTGTAGCCAGAATGTTAATTTATTCTAGTAATTGAAATGAAAAAAAAAAGCCAAAATGCTCCTCTCTTGAACGCACAAGGAAAGGGTTTTTTTTTCTGCCTCTAAATTTCCCTAAACACCTACACTATATTGCCAAAGGTATTGGGACACCCCTACAAATCATTGGATTCAGGTGTTTCCATCACCTCCATGGTGCTTGTATAAAATCAAGCCCCTAGGCATGCAGACTGCTTCTACAAACATTGGTGAAAGAATGGGTCGCTCTCAGGAGCTCAGTGACTCCAAGCGTGGTCCCGTGATAGGTTGCCACCTGTGCAATAAGTCCATCCGCGACATTTCCTTGTTACTAAATATTCCACGGTCAACTGTTAGTGGTATTATAACAAAGTGGAAGCAACTGGGAACAACAGCAACTCAGCCACCAAGTGGAAGGCCACGTAAAATGACACAGCGGGGTCAGCGTATGTTGAAGCACACAGTGTGCAGAAGTCACCAACTGTCTGCAGAGTCAATAGCTAAAGACCTCCAAACTTCATATGGCCTTCAGATTAGCACAACAACAGTGCATAGAGAGCTTCATGGAATGGGCTTCCATGGCTGAGTAGCTGCATCCAAAGCCTTAAATCACCAAGTACAATGCAAAGTGTCAAATGCAGTGGTGTAAAGCACACCGCCACTGGACTGTAGAGCAGTGGAGACGTGTTTTCTGGGGTGATGAATCACGCTTCTGTCTGGCAATCCCATGGACGTGTCTGGGTTTGGCGGCTGCCAAGAGAATGTTACTTGCCTGACTGCATTGTGCCAAGTATAAAGTTGGTGGAGGGGGATTATGGTGTGGGGTTGTTTTTCAGGGGTTGGGCTTGGCCCCTTAGTTTCAGTGAAGGGAACTCTTAAGGCATCAGCATACCAGGACATTTTGGACAATTTCATGCTCTCAACTTTATGGGAACAGTTTGGGGATGGCCCCTGCCTGTTTCAACATGACTGCACACCAGTGCACAAAGCAAGGTCCATAAAGACATGGAGGAGCCTGTTTGGGGTGGAGGAACTTGATGGGCCTGCACAGAGTCCTGAATTCAACCTGATAGAACACCTTTGGAATGATTTAGAACGGAGACTGCAAGCCAAGCCTTCTTATCCGACATCAGTGCCTGACCTCACAAATGTGCTTCTGGAAGAATGGTCAAACCTTCCCATAGACACACTCCTAAACCTTGTGGATGGCCTTCCCAGAAGAATAGAAACTGTTAGAGCTGCAAAGGGCGGGGCCAACTCAATATTGAACCCTATGGACTAAGACTGGGATGCCATTAAAGTTCATGTGCGTGTAAAGGCAGGCCGACCAATACTTTTGGCAATATAGTGTATGTGTGCATGGACACATAAGCTAATAGGGACGGGTGTTTAGAGGTAGGAAAAAAAAATGCAAAACACTGCTAAGAGTGTCATTTTATTATGCCCTGTGTACATGGACCCTAAATATGCACATTTTATCATCCAAAAGAGGTGTGGGTGAGCAGTCATGGTGCTGCATATCTTAGGCTTATTTTGTTCCTAAACTTAAGATTCTTGGCTAGGCTGGTCAATATATTGAGATTGGTCAATAACCTTGTCGTATCTATGGCCCACTGGTGGCTTATTTATAAAGATCATGAGAAGTAGGGAAGAGTGTAATGTCTTTGACAAAATTGATTTCAACTTATAATTACCTATTATCCTTTGCTGAAATTTCTACATATAAGTATATTGGCCTAAATTAAAAATATAAAATCTAATTTCAGGAAGTCCCCTACATACAAACGAGTTCCATTCCAAGAGTGCATTCATAAGTCCTATTTGTTTGTGTAGTGCCCTCTAGGTAGCTAGGATTTTTTTTTTTGTCAGAGTGAGGTATAGAAGTTACCTCAGGACAGGCTGGGAGGTTGTCCGTGTCAGGGCTTCTGGAGCCCTCCCACCTTTCCAGAAACTGTAGGAACTTTCTGGGAGAGCGGTGAAGGAGGGGAAGAGGCCTAGATTTGCATGTGTAAGGGAATGTGGCCAGTCCCCAGGCAGGAGATGGGCATGATGGCTAAGAACAACCCTTAAATGTGAGAAAGCCTGAGTAGTGTTGAGTCGGGTGGAGGATGGAATGAAGGAAGGTGCTGGAGAGTGGAACCCCGGGGGTAGCCCCAGGGGGGGCTACCTACAGGCTGGTGCTGGATGGAAGGATCTCCACTGTACCACAGTGTCTCCTAGGGCGAGCTCCTGCTCCCCCGGCCCCAATCCCTGCATCTGGGCGGCACGGGGGCCCCACGACCCTCCGGTCCCTGTTCACCAGCCAGGGAAGGCCACTGGACCTTTCTCCCGGAGCTCCGGGACCTGCGGCCTACCCGGCACCTGAAACCGCGGCCTCGATTTCTGGCGCGGCCGACCAGGATCGCCGGACATCAGCCCGGACTACTGCCACTCCGCTCCTCGGTCCCCGCCGATCAGGGGATCACCCCTGCGCCCCTACCGCTGCCATCAGGGCCCATCCTGGCCCCTGTGTCTGCTGCCGAGGTCCCCACCAACACCCACAGTCACTCCGTCCCTCCAGCGGAGCTCCGGCGGTTCGCAGCAGCCTGAGGCCTACCGCGGCACCTGAAGCCGCGGTGTTTCCTGCCAGCCGTGGCTGGAATCGCGGCGGGAATTTGCGGCCGCGGCGGGACGCCTCCGCTGCTCCGGGAAGCTACCACCACCACCAACGGTCCTGCTAACCCAGGAGGGATCCACCTCCACCCCGACGCTCCAGGACACCAGGTACTTCACCAGGGGCGCCCACTACCCACCAGGGGGGATTACCAGCCAGCCACCACACCAGGGAACGCTCGCCCAGCACCCTGATTTCCGTGTCACGCTATTCCCTCTGGCGACGCCCCGGCGACTAATGGCCCACCACGACCCCTTGAAGCCGCGGTCTCTCCTACCCCGGCCGCAACAGATCACGGTTGAGCACAAACCACGCAGGGCCGACGATCGCTACCGCAACGCCCCGCTTCGACTCTAATGACGATCCTTCAACACCTTCAGCGCCTCACGACGCCGAGCCCTCAGCACCCGGACGCCTGGCCTCAACAACCCCAGTCACCGAGCCGCCAGCATCAACCAGTCGCCGTGCCTACCATCACCCCCAGACCATCGCACCCTACGACGACCCCTCCACTTAGTCCCGAACCACCGTACCCACGGAAGACATGCCACAGCACCCATGGTCGCCAGCTTACTATACACTCCCACAGGTACTGCTGCCAACCAGCTGCCGCCCTCCACCCTCACTTCCCCTACAGAAGGACTCAAATGACTCTCACCACGGTAATACAGATTCCCCACACCACCTTGCCCTGACCTGTATCCCTTCACCTCCCCTGACCCAACTGTCATACCTCCACCCACCCCAACATGCCTCCTGCACTCCTCCTCCTCATTTTTCCTCTCCACCCATCCCAAAATCGCCTCCCTCTACCCGCCTACCCCCCCAAAACAGCTCTTACATTGCCCCTTCACGACTCCTCCTCTCCCCACTACGGCACTCACCACCTCTCCTCCTACTACTCCAACTCCCCGGGTCTAGGACCCACGTGCCACCACTATCAGATCCCACACACGCTCGAGGGCCACTACACTTCCCATTCCCATGCCACCTTCCTCACCCTTCTTCCTTCTCCTATCTGCTGGGGACATCTGCTCCCCGAACCCTGGTCCCCCTCGCCACCCTCACCCCTCCTCTAGGGACCCCCCTGCTCGCCGCCATGCCTGCCGTAACCGCCCCTCAACCTCATATCTGTGCCCCCTACTTCTCCCCGCATCTCGGGAATCCCCCCTCTCTCGGTTGCACTCCTGAACGCGCCCCGCTCGGTCTGCAAAACAAACTTACTGCCATCCATGGACCTCTTTATCTCCCGCTCCACTTAACTCTCCTAGCCATCAACCGAAACCTGGGTACGAGGCCCACTGACTCCACCTCCCTGCGTCACAACTCTCTCCTATGTGAGGGTCTCGTCTGGTGCCCAAACACCAAGACTGAGCGGTCACAAAGGTTGGTGGGGTCGGGCCTGCTCCTGTTTCACCGCTGAGCACCTTCCGTGGGTCCTTCCCTAACCCCTCCCTCCCTAAACTTTCTCTCTCCTTCGAGGCTCACTGTGCATCCGGCTCTTCTGCACCCACCCCCCTAAAAGGATCGCCAGTGATCTACATGTGCCTGCCCGGATCCATACCCGCTTCCTGTGATGACTTCGCTGCCTGGCTTCCCTTCTTCCTCTCCTCTGAGCTACCAACCATCATCCTCGGGGACTTCAATATCCCCAACTTCAATAAACAGCCCGGCTACTTCCCAATTCCTCCACCTAACCTCCTCCTTCGCGCTCACACAGCACACTCAAATCCTCCACCCACATCATTGGGAAACAACCCTGGACCTCGTTCTTCTCCCACCTTCTGTACCCTCGAACCAGTTCTCGTAACACCCCCCCTTCCCTCTCATCTCCGCCATCACCACCTAGCCTCACGTTCTCTCCATCTCCCCTTTCCCCTAACTCCCCCCCCCCAAGAGCGCCAAACCATCACCAGCCGCCGCAACCTTCGCAACCTGAACCCGGCCCCCCTCCACTCAGCTGCCGAGTCCCCGCCTAACGACAGCATCCTTCCAACTTGTCTTGTCCTGACCTAGCCACTAACACGTACAACGACTCTCACTATCAGCTACCCTAGACTCTCTGGCACCCCTAACTCCACACGCTACAACAAACCCAGACCGCTCCAACCATGGCAGATACGACCACTCACTAAATGCCTCAAACGGTCCGCAGGGTCGTGCGCTGGAGAGAGACTATGGCGCAAAACCAGGTCACCCCCCCCGTTCATCTCTCCCTCTACAAATCAGCTGCCTTCCTTCACTTACACCTCCTCCCCTCCACGCACGCCAAGCAGGGCTGTTACTTCGTAAACCTGATTAACACACCCTCTCCTCCTGCCCTCGTGGGGCCGACTCTTCTCCATCCTTCAACTCCCTGCTCTCTCCCCCCCCTCCTCCACTCAGTACCTCACTCACTCGCCCACGGAGATTGCCACTCATTTCCACAATAAAATTGATGCTATCCGTCCTAGTGGACATAGTCAACTCGCAATCTACCTCCCCACCTTAGCCTCCCCCCCCCTCCTTTATCTCCCCCTCATCATCTATTCCCTCCTCTGACCTAGCAACCGCACTGCGCCCCCTCCACACCCAAGACACCGCCGCTTACCGTAACCCCACCAGCTCTGTACTCCTTCAGCCCCGCTACCACTGAGAGGAAGTCACCAGGGTCCTTCTCTGAAGCCCGCGCCTCACTACCTGCCCCCTAGGAGCGCCTATCCCCTCTCGGACTCCTACCTCCAGTCACCCCCCCTCTTCCCTCATCTGCTCCCTACACCCCACAGTCTTCAAATCTCTCCCTCTCTACCGGCGTATTTCGCCCCTCCCCCCTTAAAGCATTGCGCACATCACCCCCCATACTCAAAAAGCTCCCTCCCTGGACCCCTCTGACCCAAACAACCTCAGAACCCATCTCCCTGCTGACACTCACTTCCACAAAACTCCTGGAGCGCTTAGTCTACAAACCGCGCCTTTAAGCGCCCACCTAACTGACAACAACCTCTCCTTGATCCACTTACGGCAGTCCGGCTTGCCGTCCCCTACACTCCACCGAAACCGCCCTCCTCAAAATCACCAACGTTACCTACTTACCGCGCCAAAGTCCCAAAGGCGACTACTCTGTCCTCCTCCTCCTGGACCTCTCCGCGGCCTTCGACACAGTGACCCACCCCTCCTCCTTAATAAACTTATTCTCCCTTGGCATCAGAGACACCGTCTCTCCCTGGTTCTCCTCTTACCTATCCCGACGCTCCTTCAGCGTTTCCTACAATGGTGCCACCTCCTTTCCCCCTCCCCCTCTCTGTTGGGGTCCCCAGGGCTCACTGTCCTTGGACCCCTTCTCTTCCTCCATCTACACCTCCTCCCTTGGCAAACTCATATACACTCCCACTGGCTTCAAACTACCATTCTCTCTATGCTGATGACACTCAAATTTACCTCTCCACCCTCTCAGCACACACGACCACCTCCACTTTCAGTCGCCCGCATCCACTCTCCTCCTTAAAACGACCATCTCTGACTGGATGTCGCTCCATTTCCTCGCATAACTTCAACATCTCTCCACACGCGCAAACACAAACCGAGCTTCTCTGTCGCTTCCCTCCTGCGCCGCATCTCCGCCCCCCCCCCCATCGCTCGCTATCCATCACTACTAACGCGCCCCATCACCACCATCAAAAAACATCCCGCCCCGCAAGCCAACGTTCCTTGGGGTCATTCTGGACTCTAACCTCGACCTCCAACCTCATGTCTCAAATCACTGACAAAACACATGCCAGCTCCACCTCCGCAATATCGCCCAAAATAATGAGCATCCTTCCTTACCCCAGACGCTTGTGCACTGCGACTCCCTGATTATCTCACGCCTTGACTACTGCAACTCCCTCCTCCACCGGCCTAACCCCAGTGCAAATCTCCCCCGCTGATCAGGACCAATCCTGAACTCAGCTGCCAGACTCATTCCACCTCACCAGCCGCTCCACCTCGCTGCACTCGGGGCCCCTCTGCCTCTCCCTCCACTGGCTCCCTATCGCGCCCCAACGCATCAAATTCAAACTACTCACTCTGACCTACAAAGCCATTCACATCACTGCGCCTAACTACTGTCACCGACCTGATTCCCCAAGTACCACCCTACCCGTACCCGTACGCTCTTCACAGGACCTCCATTCTATCTTGCTCCCTGGTTCCTCCTCACACGCACGTCTGCAAGACTTCTCCAGGTCCTCCCCCATCCTCTGGAACCTCACTACCCAATTCCATCAGACTGTCACCTTCGCCCTCCTCACTTTTCAGGCGCTCCCTGAAAAAAACCCACCTCTCTTCAGGGAAGCCGTACCCCACCCTCACCTAACTGCTGCTCTCCTTCATTCCTCCTACCACTCCATCCCCCACAGCCACTTCGCCTCCTGTACCACTACCCCCTCCCTCCCAGATTGTACGCTCGAAAGAGTAGGGCCCTCTTTACTTACCCCTCGTTTGTGCTGTTTCGTAGCGAGCTGCTGTAATGTTTCATGTATTGTCCCCCCCTCTATTGTACAGCGCTGAGCAAAATCCTTTGGCGCTATATATACTCAAGGTAATGTAATTGTAATGTAATGCGTTGGGCAGACAGCCCTGTCAGCTGGAGGAGAGCCAGCCCAGCGTAAGGCCTGAAAACAGCTGCAAACCCATCACGCTAACAGGACAGAACAGTGTGAGTACTCCTTCATCCTCCTGGCCCCAGTGGAATGGAGAGCGTGGTCAGGTGCAAGACACATCTACTTCTCATCTGGGACTATTGCAGATCTTGGTATCCCATGCCCACGGATACCCACAGGACAGTCGAGTGAAAGAGGAAGGATTCATCTGGGGTCTAAGCGGAGGTACACCAAAAGGGACTTCAGTGCTCCTTAAAGGAGACAGTTGCTACTCTTTTTGGTCCACATTAGGAGGTACAAAGTTGCTAAGAAGTTTGTCCTCAAGTTTTTCAGTTTCTTGGACATCCCATATACCCTTAGACCCCCCATCCAAGTTGTTAACCACTTAAAAAAAACAACAAAAACAAGCTCAAGGACTGTTTTTAACTGACCTAAAAAGTGTGGAAAGTGCGTGGTGTCCTTGCTGTGCAGAGCTGGGGAGGACCCAGTTTTCAACAACAAGACCTTCAAGAGGGTAGCGCTACATTTGTAAGTCCAACAAAGTTAGCCTAGGTACTCAGCTAAAACAATTGGCCGTATAGTACAGTGTACAGTACTGTGATCGGGGTACAATGTACACCAAACACGTGAACTAACTTACGTGATTGGACATGCAAATGAACATTCACATGCTTAAAGGTTTGCAACTTGAAGGATTGTATGTTGGGGACTTACCATATTGTTCTGCAGAATTTCTATTTTTCCGTCCTCTGCTTGGGCATTGTACAGTAATAAGGCTGAATGATGAAATTCGGCAGTGCCAGATGATGTTGTCTTGCCATGTTTATTTCACCAGATTTTTGTCTGCTTTTTTCAGAGATTGTATAAATCCGGAGATCAGGAATCTCTGCACCAGTACACACTACCTCCAGATCACCCTGACTTTATACGGGCCCGAATCAACGCATCGCTAATAAGTGACGTAAGTGCCATTGCGACCAAGACCCTACACTAGTGGCCTGATGACAATTTATTTTATATTTATTTCAGGTACTTCTATAGTGCCTTCAGTGTACGCAGCGCTTTACATATATATTGTACACTCACATCAGTCCCTAACCCTCAAGGGGCGTACAGTCTATGCTCCCTAACTTACAATCATACATACACATACTAGGGTCAATTTAGACAGGAGCCAATTAACCTACCAGCATGTCTTTGGAGTCTGGGAGGAAACCTGAGTACCCAGAGGAAACCCACACAGGCACAGGGAGAACATGAAAACTCCAGGCAGGTGGTGCCATGGTTGGGATTCAAACCAACGACCCTAGTACTGCCAGGCGGAATTGCTAACCATTTAGCCACTGTGCTGCCTAATCAATGCCAATTTGTATCCTCCCTTCCCCTTCAGTGCTGACCACATGTACAGATCATTTTCTAGATATCTCAACCAGTGTTTCAGGGCAATATCGAACGGATTAAGGCTTGGTTCACCTTGACGCAACTTGAAAGTCATGCAACTTCCTGTGCAACGTTGCATTGCGGCTTAGCTCTGGTTCACACCACTGCGACTTTAGGTGCGACATGTGATTTACATCTTATGTGTTTCAATGGCCTCTGTCTTAATAGGTGCGATATCAAGTAACATGATTTGAAGAATAGTTCCTGCGTTTTTTTTTTCACCGCTTCAGTGCGATTTACTTCTCAGGCTAGGTTCACACCTATGCAGGTTGCGTTAGAGCCCTTTCTGCATTGCGTTTTTGCACTTTCGTTTTTGCTGCGTTTTTGATGTGGGTTTTTTTTTTCATTTTTTTTTTAAATGTTCTTGTTACTAGGCAGATCTAAAATGCAAAAACGCAGCGAAAACGCAATACGTTCTTTTCTGCAGCGTTTTCATTGAAGTCTAGATAGAGAAAAAACAGGTGGCGCACACACCTAGTGCATTATCCAAGGTTTATTGAAAGGTATAAAAGATATAAAAACACACTCAGACAAAGCATGTATCTAAAAAGAATTTGCATAATGACGATGGCCACAACGGCAAGCAAGGTGTTCCAACTGTCAGTGCGGTCAAATGTCTGATGCGTTTCAGGGACGAATCCCTTTCCTCAGAGCTACTGACCAGCCTCTGATGCAGATGTGTAATGAATGAATGATGGGAGCCTTGCTGGTGATCAAAAAAACGCACTGGGTGAAAATGTGGAGATGTGAACCTGTCCCTTAGGAAATCATGTTAAATGGACTGTACTGCGTTTCTGGTTGAGATTCGAACATACAACCCTATGTTATATGTTGTCTTTATGCATTTGATCTTTTTCCCGATCAAGCCCTGGTTCACACGGACTTTGAAAGTGCGCTACTTCAGCTGAGGTAGAGCGATTTTAAAGCCGCCTGTCAGTGCGATTTCATGTGCGGCTTGCCAACATCTGTGCAAGTTCATAAACAGGTGTCAATAGAAGTCGCTCACGAAATCATCAAAAATAATGCCGAAACCTTTTTCAAAACCGGTGCAAGTCGGTGTCACAAGGATTTGAGCAGTTCCATAGGCACTAACGGGGTGCGACTTGCCTTTGAATTTTGAACTGTCAAATCGCATTGTGTGAATGGGGAAGGGAGGGGGGGGGTTAAAGCTGGTTCAAATTACAAATGATGTTTGTTCTACTTTTAGGCAAATTTTTAAAAGGGAAAAACTTTATCAATGCCAATTGATTCTGATACTAGGCACTACGCAGACTGGATATGCAAAAATTTGCTTTTAAAAATGACATGGTTTTGTTTTCTAACAAAGCCACTTGATCACCAAACCAGCAAAGACATGATGACTTGGCTCTGTTAATAAACAAAGCCATGTCAATGACAACTGCCACTGTATGTCAGTCAAGGGGCAGTCGTGGTGCACCCATAAAACAATACCTGAGCACCCTTAAACTATATTCCCAGCCAAAACTTTTTTCCTTAGTTTTAGATGGTGTGGAGAAGGGTTATTATTATTATTATACAGGATTTATATTATTATTATTATACAGGATTTATATAGCGCCAACAGTTTGCGCAGCGCTTTACAATATAAGGGGGGCGGTACAATTACAATACATTTCTGTACAGAAGGAATAGGAGGGTTTTGCTCCAGGAGCTTACAATCTAAAGGAAGGGGGAGGTGATATAAAAGGTGATAGCTGTGGGGGATGATCTGGTGGAGGTGATTCAAGTACAGTTCTTAGGTGGAGGTGGGGTAGGCTTCCCTGAAGAAGTGAGTTTTCAAGGATCTCTTAAAGGCAGACAGGGTGGGGGCCGACCGGACAAATTGTGGTAGGGAGTTCCAGAGGATGGGAGAGGCTATGGAGAAGTCCTGGAGGCGAGTGTGGGAGGAGGTGATGAGGGAGCTAGAGAGAAAGCTGTTAGAACCCTTGTTAGGTTTTTACTGCTTTTCTGGGCTCCTTTTACAGAGATTTCCCCTCATTTCCTGTTGACTTTTTATCAGACAGGAGGAGAAAGGAGGCTTCCAACAGAAACACAGACAGACATAAAGATATTTTTCTTTAGTAGAGTAGGGAAAGGTTGGACCCTCTGTCAGATTTTTATTTTTGTCTGTCTCTGTTGCAGATTTTCTCTAACTTCCTGTCTGGTGAAAATTTTGATATCCAGACGGGAAGTGAGGAGAATCTCTCTAACACAGCTATGCTGTAAAATCCCAGCAAGAGTTCTAGTTCTTGCTCACTCTATCCAAAGCCAGTAAAAAAGCATTTTTAGCTTTACGTACACTTTTAATCAATAAAAAAAACTATTCAAATTCAAATCACATATGCACTAATGAATAAAAAAAAATATATGCACATTCAAATCACGTACGGTTTAATGAATACAAATATTTAAAAATTCAAGTCACATATTATTTTTTAATCAAAATATCGAAACATTCAAGTCACATATCTTTTAATCAAAATAAAAATATCTAAAAATTCAAGTCACATATTTTTTAGTCAATTAAAAAAAATCAACTCACGTGCAATTTAATTAATAAAAGTATATCAAAATTCAAGTCACACACACACACTAATTAAAAAAAGAAATTCAACTCATATACATATAATGAATAAAAAATATATATGTAAAATCAAGACACATAGTTTTTAATTATTGAAAAAATTCAACTTGCATAGCCTTTAAGTAATACAAATATCTAAAAATTCAAACCACATATTTTTTAATCAATAAAAAAAAAAAAATCAGCTAACATACATTTTAAGTAATAAAAGTATATAAAAATCCATGTCATGTACACAATAATTAATAAAAGAAGTTCATCTAACATACATTTAAATAAAAGTATATAAAAATCCAAGTAATATACACACTAAATAATAAAGAAATTAAACACACATACAGTTAATGAATAAAAAAAATGTATAAAATCAGGACACATATTTTTTAATTATTTAAAAAAAATTCAACTTGCCTAGACTTTAATAAAAATATATACAAAATTCATACCACATATTTTTTAATCAATGAAAAAATCAACTAACATACATTAAATTATTACAAGTGTATAAAAATCCAAGTCATATACACACTAATTAATAAAAAAGTTTAACTCACATACATTTTGTTAGCAACTTATATTATATATATATATATATATATGTATATATGTATTATGTATTATGTATGTATGTGTATGTGTGTGTGTATGTATATACACATATATATAAATTCAAGTCACATACCGGTACTTTTTAATCAATGAAAAGTAATCAACTCATATACACTTTATAGATGAGGATGGATGGCGCTCAAACTGAACCCCAGGAGTCAGAGTAGAACAGGATATGGTAGGATGACCTCAGCTGTCACTCTGGGCACGCCCTCTGATGCGTATCGCCCCACCCATAGGGGGCTTGGTGGTCACTGGGGTTCAGTTTGAGTGGCTCTGACTATCCTGGGGTTCCAGCTCCCTTGAGGGGGTGGCGTCCAGGGATCCCGGCCCCCATCCCGGCCCCCCCATTATGTGAGTGTGGGGTACATGGTACCGATACCTATTCACAAAAAAAATTGTGGTGTAAAAATGACAGGAGACAGTCTTTGACAAGTCCTTTATTTAAAAAAATTTAAAAAATGGCCCCCGAAGTAGATCCAACATCAATTATGATGCTCGCCACCACCGCTGACCCGAAAAAAAGGAAAAAAAAAAAAAGCCTGTGTTGCTCTCGACGTTGGCTCACCGAGAGGACAGTTCTTAAATACTGTGATGACTTTGCAAGGGGCGTGGTCACGCCTGCCCCCTTGTGACATCATCATGCGCTGCGATTGGCCAAAGCATGGCACCTGACCTATGGTCAGATGCATTGCTTTGGCCAATCACAATGCACTGTCAGGGTGTACTGCATTGTGAGGCGCAGCGGGCGCACAGCCCACCGAAAGCCCTTTCCGTTCGAACGGCTGATTTTCGAGTTGATGTTGTTCCACTCGAACAGCTAGCCCATCTCTGTTACTGAGTGGTCCAAAACAGCTCTATAATGACATGGTACCGACGCTCTCCGCTTCCTCCACACCATCAGGTACAACACAATGAGCGTTCACCTGCTTCACAATATCCACCGATTCTCAACATGTTAGTCATCCAGAGGCAACATGTATAGAGCAAGAAAGCTTCCCATAGTGTGAAACCTTACTTAAAAACTTTCTTTGGAATAAAAATTACACTTACAAAATGCTCCATGAAATATATAGCAGTGAACAAACAACTCCCAATTAATTCCCACATCCAAGATGGCCACGAGTGTGCATGTATGCGCAGGCTGCATCCAGCGCGTTTCGTCAGATATGACGTCATCAGGGCTTAAGCTTAACCAAAATTTGCAATTTCTATTCCAAATAAAGTTTTTAAGTAAGGTTACATATGTGGATATATATATATTTATTTTTGAGGCAATAGATGCATTTTTAGTTTAATGCGGTAATAGTTGGGTTTGCAGTATGTTTTTGTTTTAAGAGCTGCACTGTTTTATAATTCTTCAGTATAGTTTAAAAGTTGACATTTTGAGTCACGAATTGATGTTTTCCTGTAATTTCATTAGAAAGCCTACAGGACGCTATGGGAGCAGTCCCGGGCAGCCGGTTATGACCTGAGACTGGACGCCATTCCCTTCCAAACCGCCAAAGCCTCTCGAGAGATCGCCAGTGATGTAAGTGAACATTTGGGATGAAACTAGGCTTGAGTCCAATGAATGAGATCAGCAAAGGGGGGTTCTTACTGTAGAGAAGGTAGATTTAAAGGCCAACGATGTCCTTTTTTTCTAGTTTTGGATGGAATGGTGAAAGGTTGCAACCATGTTCTAGGATTTTATTGATGCTTGTGTGCTGTGCGGGTGACAACCTTCGCCCTAATGTCATGCCTTGGTGTCACCAAGATAAGAAATAAAAGGGAAGCCTCTGTAATGGGAACCCCAAATAATAAGTACACATGCTAAAGTGTTTGTCAATCCTTCCATATACCAAGTGAAGTGACTGGCCACAGGTGACACACAGAGATGAAACTAATTCTCCTACATAAGTTGTACCTGCTTATCTGCAGTCTTCTCTTCTCTGCATCTGTTCAGTGTACTGAATGTATAAAGCTTGTCTGAGCATCCAGAAAAAAGGGGGCAGAGAGCTGAAATTACACTCTGCAGAGCTCAGTAAGGAGAGCTCTGAGAGCTGACTGGAGGGAAGAGATACCCCCCCCCCTTCCACTCAGCACACAGGAACAGAGCTGAGGCTGTCAATCACAGACTGTGTGCTGAGCTCCGTTCCCAGTCACCTTTTTACCTCTTAGTGTCAGGAAAAGTTGATAGAAGTGATTCATGCTGATAGCAGGGGAACAGGACAACAAACAGAAATGACACTTAGTGCTCTGGATTGAGACAAGCACACACTGTTAGAGGGATATGCTTTGTTCATATTTCAAGTCTGCCTCTTAGGGGTTCAGGAAGGAATTTTTTTTCCCTGCAGCAGTAAATTGGATCATGCTTTGCTGGGTTTTTTTGCCTTCCTCTGAATCAACTGTGGGTGTAGGATTATAACTTTTTTTTATTTTTAATTTTTTTCTTAATGGTTGAACTGGATGGACGTTTGTCTTTTTTTCAGCCAGACTAACTATGTAACTATGTCTGAGGTTTACAACCACATTAAGTTGATGTGTTCTCTGCAGTTCCGTTACAAAGAAGCCTTCGTCAAGGAGAGAGGACATCAGATCGGTTTCCGCAGCATTACTGATGATCCCAAGACGCAGCACGTGATGAAGGTCAGCAAACTTCAGAGCGACCGCGAGTACAAGAAGCTCTCGGAGGAGACCAGGTCGCAGGTCCACACACACCTGGACCAACCGGGATTCATCCAGGCCAAAAAGAGCCAGCAGCAAGCCAGCAATGTCAACTATCGCCAGCACCTCCACCAGTACACGTGCGACCCGCAGCAGCTCACGCTAAAGCACGCCAAGCAGGCGCACAGTCTGCAGAGCGATGTACGTACCATCAATTGCCTGGGGCCATTCATTGGGATGGAGACTATTTAAAGCGGGACTTCACTCTCTCAATCATCATGGACTATGTTTAACCCCTTGTTGACGGGGCCTCCTGGCCCTTTAAGGGTTTCAGCAGCCGGGAGGTTGGGCGGGGTTTTAAGGTCATATGATCGCCGTGATTCGCCGTCATGGCGGTCACATGATCAGGAAAGGTCCTGATCGAAAGAGGAGATCAGGACCTTTCCGTGAGTACCGGACATGTGTGCTGGGAGCGTGCAGGGCAAGTGCTCTCAGCACATATGTTTTTGTTAATTGCACGCAAATGTGCGGCCACTCGGCGTCAAGGCCCAGACGCCGGGAGAACGCACATTTGCATGTGGCCGGCGTGAAGAGGTTAATCCTTATGTTTCTAGCATTAGTAAATAGATAGGAAGCTATATTAGATTTACTTGTTTTAAACTTTTTTTTACATTTCTTTGGCTAATTCCTGGTTTCCATGCCTAGGCAAATGATATCATATATCCCAGGAGCCTTCAGGAGGGGAGGGAGGGTGAACATAGGCCTGAGCTAAGGGCAGATGGATTCCAGGAAGTAAATGAAACAGGATTCATCTGCCCTTACGCAAGATGGCCACTGCCAGAAATGCTAGGGGGTGTTTTTCAAAGTGATTTCTCAACAAAATAAAGCATGAAGACATGATGGATGGGGGAGTCTGCTGTAAATATTAAAAATGAATTAAATAGCATTTTTTGTTTGTGATGCTCAAATGCAGTGCAGTTCTGCTATTTGCTCTTTGTTTTATATGTGGAATAGACTCCCTCAAGAGTTGGTTCTGGCCAGCTCAGTGGATTGCTTTAAAAAAGTCCTGGATTCTTTCCAAGATACACAGAATATAACTGGATACTAACATTTATAGGTAAAGTTGATCCAGGGAATATCCGATTGCCTCTCGGGGGATCAGGAAGGAATTTTTTTCCCTGCAGGAGCATATTGGATCATGCTTTGCTGGGATATTTGCCTTCCTCTGGATCAACTGTGGGTGTAGGATTATAACTTTTTTTTTTATGATTGAACTGGATGGCCTTTTTGTTTTTTTTTTTTTCAGCCAGACTAACTATGTAACTATATTGTGTGTTATAGAACCACTAATGTTGTGTGTTATAGTTACCTACTAATGTTACTGTAATAGGAGCTGCTAGTAAACTCAACCTTCCAGCTTTTGAAAGTGGTGCCATGAAAGATTTCAATGTTGGTCTATCTATAAAGTTTCCAGGCTTGATCATAAGGTGATCAACTGAAAGATCTTTATGTCATCACCACAAGTTGCTTTGTTTACCACAACAAACATCAGTCTAGTATTGAACGTCCTGACCCCGACATGAAGCTAAACCACAGACCAGAAAACACACTGAGCCTCACGTATCAAAGTACCTAGAAGGGGAACTTTCTGTGTTGAGGGCATCAGCGAATCGTTTTCTTCTTTTCATTTATGGACTTTCTTTGGAGGAATGGCTGGTTTGGTGTTGGCCAACCCAGTCTTCACTATAGAGTCTAGACACTTCCTTGCCTAATCAGTGGAGGTCACAGAAGATGGTTGGTTGTCCTTTTCTTAGTTCTCAGCAGATTTTGTGTACAAGAGGGACGTTATTGATTCATAAATGATATATTTTCTGTTTTCTTTGCAGGTAAAATACAAGTCCGATCTAAACTGGATGAAGGGTGTGGGCTGGACCCCTCCTGGGTATTACAAGGTGGAACTTGCCCGCCGAGCAGCAGAATTGGCGAATGCTCAGGACGGGGAGGCGCCATTCTCTTCAGAGGTACATGTACACTAAATACATTTTTAGATAAACCGGCTTACCCCTGCTTCACATATATGCGGTCATGCGGGCCACGTTATGCGTGGGCATGAGAGCCCACTTCAATGACTGTAAGGGGTTAATGTACTAAAACTGGAGAGTGCAAAATCTGGTACAGCTGTGCATGGTAGGCAATCAGCTTCTAACTTCAGCTTTTTTCAATTAAGCTTTGACAAAAGAACCTGGAAGCTGATTGATTTCCATGCAGGGCTGCAACAGGTTTTGCACTCTCCAGTTTTAAAAATCAACTTCTAAGTATACCCCAGACTTTCCTGTGCCATCTACTAACCCCTGTTACTCCAGTGCAGCCCAGAGCATCAAATACCATCTAGTGCATTCTGTGCCATCTGTTGACCCCTGGGGACCCTGTGACTCCAGTGCAGCCCAGAGTATCCAAGTGTTCCCCTGGGCAACTGTGACTCTACTGTAGTGGTCTCCAAACTGCGGCCCTTTGCTTGCTTTGATCCGGCCCTTGGGGCAATATTTCATCCTCTGACACCAACAATGGGGCATAATTCCCTCCACTGACACCAACGAAGGGGCAAAGTACCTCCCAATGACACCAATGATGGGGCACAATTAATCCCAGTGATACCAAAGATGGGTCATGATTTTTCCCACCCAATGACCCCAATGATAGAGCAAAATTCCTAGCACTGACATCAAAGATGGTGAATTGTTTACTCCCACTGATGCCAGGACATTTTCTACTTCCAATGGCCACAATCTGCCCCCCCCCCCCCACAGTATGGCAGTAAACTATAAACTGGACCCTTGTTTAGAAAGTTTGAAGACCCCTGCTCTAGTGCACTCCAGAGCATCCTGTGCCATCTACTGACTCTAATGGGCCCACACTTCTACATCGTCTGGACCATTCTTTTTTCAGTGGATATGAAAAACTATGTGTGATAATACCTAAAACCAGCAAGTGATGAGAATTCCAAAATTTCCCAATTGTCATAAAAATGGAAATATAGTGGAACTCTTCCAATGGGGACATTGATCCAATGACACCTAAGAGTGAACTTCCCCTATCTTAGAAGAGATTTCCTCATTTCCAGTTGTGTCTCCAGGACAGGAAATCTCCACTAGAGTGTTTGAGTTTTAATTCAAGGTGCTGTAGCATATCATTGGCTGGACAACCTTCACGGCCTCCATGGATCCAGTGTCTTCTTACAGTTTGAGAGTCAGCCATAGAGATCAGTAGGCTGGCTGTCTAACTTCTTGGTTGCATATAATGGGCAGGCAGCTCATTCATGGTTATGGCTGACCCGTGTGCTGCAATAAGATGCCAACTCCGTTGAGGTCTCCAAGGAAGACCAGATGGAAGAAAGGACTGATGGCTTTTGTACTCGCATTGCTGTGCAGAAGTCATCTTCACTATATTAGGAAATAAAATAATAATTATTCAATAATGTAATCCTCAGACCTGTGTCTAATTTAACATTTCCTTCATTGTCTCCAGGATGAACGAGATTCGCAGTCCCCCCAGCAGAGCGGTGTAAACCTTGACGCATCAGAAATCTTACATGTGAAGCGACGAAAAGCTGTACCAATAAGAAAATAAGTGGATTCCCTCTCGGGCGTATAACATTTGTGGACTTATGTGCCTTACACAATTAGCCCTGCTTGCTCTCGTCTGCACTACAAAATTGTTTGTTATATTGAACTGAACACAGATGTTACAATCTGATCCTACAATCATCTCCACATTTATCACCTCTGTGGTACCAATGCCTACCCAACTAGATAAAAATTGAATGGATTGTTTAGGCAGGGCTCATACACCATCGGTGGTCAACCTAAAACAGATTGTACACTTAGATAGTAATGTGTGTGCCCAATTGGAATGTACTGGTTAAATCTGCAGTTTGTTTAAAACTTAGTTTTAATGGGTGGGAGTTAACGCTTTCTTCATTGACCCATCGAGTACACAATGCACCAGCTAACAACTTCTTCTGCTATGGAGGCTTCAAGTTCCTTAGAAGCCCTCATACATACCTCCAACAGCAAGTGCCAGGATCAGGGGGCACTCTGCCTGCAAAAATAGGGTATACTATTATTTATATTAACTGCTTTCTCTTAAAGTGGGCCTACCAATAGTTACATAGTTAGTCCGGCTGAAAAAAAACAAAAGTCCATCCAGTTCAATCATAAAAAAAAAAAAAGTTATAATCCTATACCCACAGTTGATCAAGAGAAAGGCAAAAAAAAAAAACCAGCAAAGAATGATCCAGTTTGCTCCTGCTAGGAAAAAGATTCCTTCCTGATCCCCCGAGAGGCAATCAGATATTCCCTGGATCAACTTTACCTATAAATGTTAGTATCCAGTTATATTCTGTGTATCTAAGAAATAATCCAGGACTTTTTTTTAAAGCAATCCACTGAGCTGGCCAGAACCAACTCTTGAGGGAGTCTATTCCACATTTTCACAGCTCTTACTGTGAAGAAACCTTTCTGTGTTTGGAGATTCAATTTCTTTTCCTCCAGATATAAAGAGTGCCCCCTTGTCCTCTGTGATGTCCTCAGGGTGTATAGCTTACACCGAGTTCACTATATGAACCACTGATGTATTTATACATGGAGATCATATCCCCCCTTATGTATTATACATGGAGATCATATCCCCCCTTATGTATTTGATATATCCCCCTTATGTATTATACATGGAGATCATATCCCCCCTTATGTATTATACATGGAGATCCCCTTATGTATTATACATGGAGATCATATCCCCCCTTATGTATTATATGGAGATCATATCCCCCTTATGTATTATACACATGTATTATACATGGAGATCATATCCCCCCCTTATGTATTATACCCCCCTTATGTATTATACATGGAGATCATATCCCCCCCTTATGTATTATACATGGAGATCATATCCCCCCTTATGTATTATACATGGAGATCATATCCCCCTTATGTATTATACATGGTGATCATATCCCCCTTATGTATTATACATGGAGATCATATCCCTCCTTATGTATTATACATGGAGATCATCCCCCCCTTATGTATTATACATGGAGATCATATCCCCCCCCCTTATGTATTATACATGGAGATCATATCCCCCCCTTATGTATTATACATGGTGATCATATCCCCCCTTATGTATTATACACGGAGATCATACCCCCCCATGTATTATACTGGAGATCATATCCCCCTTATGTATTTATACATGGAGAGCATACCCCCCTTAACTTTGCAAGTGTTGATTAATAAATTCCCGACAGCAGCAATGTAACTTATTTTCAGAAAATCTCCACCTTTTATCATTACAAAGCCCTCCTTGAGCTCCAGCCAGTCACTTTGCCTAGGTGGAGATGATGTCATGAGTCTGCTGCAGGCAGGAGGAAGCATTTCCTCAGTCTCCTCTCCTGCATTGATCCATCTGCGACATTGTATCCCTGTAGAAAGTCACAAGGTGAGAGGCTGCAGCAGGGGCTGATCTGTGTCAGACATTTGCGAACACAGCCAAGACCTCCACAGAATTTACATGATTGTGTCATCTCTGGGCAGGCATCTCAGTCAAGTAAGTAGATGGTGACCCTGAATGATGACTGAACAAGAAGGAAAGTTAAAGCAGAAGAAGGCGTTGATAGGGGAATACATGCAAGAGTTACAATGACACATTAATTAGCATGCATGAGCATCTGACAGGTCCACCTTAAGCAGTACAGAATGTTGACAGGTTCACTTTAAATTGTATTCAGAGGTGCTATAAACCCAGCTTAAATGATGTCACTGAATATTGTGGGGGTGAAGTGTAATAAAGGGGTGATTATTTTTTTAAAGGCATTTCTCAGGTGGTTCACCTCTAAAAACCAGTCGTTGCTTTCTGCCATGATGGCGTTCGTCTCAAGCCTGGAGCACCGTTCGGCTTCTTATTACGATAGGACTGGCGGGATCAGTTGTGAACTAGAAGCAATGGAACTGATAAAAGTCATTTGTAGAATTTCCATTTGTTTGTACTGAATAAACTTGATCAATACAGGCGGGTTTTGTCTGGTATGAATGTTGATAGAAAGAAGCGTGCGGCAAATATGCACTGCGGGGCGATGACCCCTGGATTGTACAGGAAGCTGTTTGCAGAACGGAGGGGCCCTCTCCTGGTTAGCTAGGGGCCCTGCCACAGGTAGAGAACATCTACAAATATTGCTTTGCCAGGTTACTGAGAACGAAAAAGAATGTGAAGACATAATCAACGGATTTCAACGAATACCATTATTTAGCGCCAAACTCAGAATGTTTAACATCTTCACGCTGGCCACACACAAATGTGTGGCCTCCCTGCGTCTGGGCCTAGACGCGAGCGGGCGCACATTTGCGGTCAATTATAAAACAACGTGCTGAGAGCGCACGCCCTGCGCACTCCCAGCACACGTCCGGTACTCACGGAAAGGTCCCTGTCTTCTCTTTTGATCGGGACCTTTCCGATCATGTGACCGCTGTGACGACGCGTCACGGCGGTCACATGATCCCTAAAGTCTCCCGGCTTCTGAAACTCTTAAAGGGCCAGGAGGCGCCGGCGTGAAGGGGTTAAAGTCCAAATTTAAAGTGTTAGTAAAGCTAATTTTGTTTTTTAATTGGCTATACAATTATTTGTTCTTAAGCCGGCCACACACACGGGTCGAATTCCGAAAGAATTTTCTTTCGAAAATCTTTTCTAAGAATTTTCGTTCGAACTTCGCATCATTAGTGGGTCACAGAAATGGACGATTTTTGTGTGACTATCAAATGAGAGATTGGGCATGTTGGGGGGCAGGATCTGGGGGTTCCTTTTTTAAAATCATGTGGCCTGAAGAGGGGGGGGGCACTCGCTAGTTCCCCACTTTTCTTGACCTGCTGGGCTGCATGCTCAGATAAGGGTCTGGTATGGATTTTGGGAAGACCATACGCCGTTTTTTTTTTTTTCGCAGTTTTTTTCCTTTTTTTTCCATTGGCGACATTCTTTTGCTTGTTCCCGGCCACCTCCTTATTAACCAGCTATTCTTCACACAGAATTCAGATCGGTTGATACATTTTTGACCAATTTGAATTCAAATCATTCTGAAAATTTGGAATTCGTTGGAAAATGAATAAACTAAACAAAACGAAACTAAACAAATTCCGAAACAAATCCACACAACAAAATTAGTAACATAATGAATTTATCCGAAACTAAATTAAACAAATTTTTCTGTTCTGCACATGTCTAGATAGTAAGAAGCCAAAGTTTTTTTTTGAAGAACAAATTATAAAAGTTTCTGGCAAATTGGATTCCTATGACCATGAGCCAGTGACTGCAGGGCTGATCTGTGTATTCTGATAGAGGGGGAGTCCTGCTGTCAGAATACAATATTGCAGAAGTCTACATAGAGACCACTGCTTTGAACACAGCATTAGAGGTCCAACACACCTCCTGCCAGCATCAGCATGCTGCAGAGAAGGGCCCCTGCTCTCTGTGTGGAAGCAGTGGCCTCTGTGCAGAGGTCTGACATGCCCTTTGCCGATTCAGAACTTTTTAATTAGGATGGAGCATGAGATGTACAAATTGTAGAATGCTAGCTCTGACAGCTTGGGGTGGTTTTGGACTTCTGCAGAGACTGCTGTCTTTGCACAGAGAGCAAGGGTCTCTCTCTGAAGCATGCTGGCAGGGGAAAAGCTTTTCTACTCAGGCTGTGGCTGCTTTCTAAGGAAAATGAACCATAAGACTTTGCACACCTTTTGTTTCAATGCACCTGGAATGTACTTAGCTAGTTTAAACTCAGGGGCGTAGATAGGGGGGGAGTCAGGGGGGTCTGAACCCCCTCCCCCAGAGGAGAGTTGCCAACCATCCCTGGCTGCAGTCCTTTAAATTTGGGTGGGGCAGTGAGAAGAGCACAGCGGTGGGTAACGTAGTGGGGGTGGGAGGGAGGGGGCAGAAATAAAACCGTTCTGTGAAGCGCCGGGGCTAGGGGTGTGTCGGAGGGGCGGCGGTGGTTGTGGTGACAGGCAGCGATCTCCTGTATGGCTTTCAATGCAGCAGCTGGAAGCCACTGGAGGGAGAGGAGGAGAATCAGCTTCCAGCTGCTTCATTTAAAGTCATACAGGAGATCACTACCTATCACCACAACCATTGCCGCCCCTCCCGCACACCCCTAGCCCCGGCGCTACTCGCCGCCTCCACTGCTGCACAGAATGGTTTTCTTTTGGCTCCCCTCCCACCACCGCTGTGTTCCAGCTGTTGTGTTCTTCTCACTGCCCAGCAGCCCAGCCCCTCCCTCCATCCTCCGCAACAATAGGAGAAGAGGAGAGAGAGACTAGATCTGCTCTGCCTCCCATCTGCGCCCGCACTCCAGTCCATGCAGCTTCAGAGGAGGTGTGGGCGGGAAACTGAACACAGCAGCTAACAGTCACAGGTCTGATGCTTCTGAAGAAGTCATGGTGAGTTTGACCTAGCCTTCCTTCCATCCTTCCATCCCCCCTCCTTCCCTTACATCCTTCCACCCCTCCTCTCTTCCTTTCACCTAACCCCCTCCCTTCATTCCATCCTTTCAGCCCCTCTCCCTTCCACCCCCCTTTACTGCCATCCTCCTCCTTTCCTTCCTTACACCCACCCCTCCCTCCTCCTCCTTCCTTCAGCCCACCCCTCCCTTCCTAACAACCATCCTCCCCTTCATTCCACCCACCCCCTCCCTTCCTTCCTTCTTTCCACCCACCCCCTTTCACCCACCCTTCCTTTCACCTACCCCTCCCTTCCATAGTCCTCTTCTTTCCTTCATTCCAGCCACCCCTTCCTTCTACCCATCCCTCCTTTCCTTCCACCCAACCCTTCCTTCCACCTCCCCTCTGCCTTCCTTCTTTCCACCCCCCCCCTTCCTTCTACCCCCCCTTCCTTCCTTCCACCCACCCACCCTTCCTTCCCCCACCCACACCTCCTATCCATCCACCTCTTCTTTCCTTTCTTCCACCCACCCCTCCTTTACTTCCTTTCACCTCCATCCTCCCACCCCCCCTCTTTCCTTCCTTCCATCCACCCCTTCCTCCCCCCCACCCCACCCCCCCCTCCCTTCCATCCACCCTTCCTTCCACCCATCCCTCCTTTCCATCCACCTCTTCTTTCCTTCCTTCCATCCACCCCCTTCATTCCTTCCACCTCTCTCTTCCTTCCCCCCCCCCCCCCCCTCCTTCCCCCCCTTCTACCCCCCCCTTCCTTCCTTCCACCCACCCATTCCTTCCTTTCACCCACCCTTCCCTTCCATCCACCTCCCCTTTCCTTCCGTCCATCCACCCCTTCCTTAATTTCACCCCCTTCCTTCCTTCCACCTACCCCTCCTTTCCTTCTTTGCACCCACCCTTCCTTCCACCATTCCATCCCCCACCCACCCCTTCCCCCCTACCTTCCATCCACCCTTTCCTTCCCCCCCCCCCTCCTTTCCTTCCTTCCATCCACCCCTTCCTTCCACCCATGCCTACCTTCCACCTACCCTTCCTTCCTTTCACCCCCACCCCTCCCTTCCTTCTACCCCCCCCCCCTTCCACCCACCCCTCCCTTCCACCTCTTCTTTCCTTCCTTCCTTCCTTGTATTCACACACCTCTTCCTTCCTTCCACCCACCCCTTCCTTCCTTCCACTCACCCCTCCCTTTCTTCCTTCCACCCACCCCTTCCTTCCTTCCATCCACCCCTATCTTCATTCCTTCCTTCCACACACCCCTTCCTTCCTTCCACCCCTCCCTTCCTTCATTTAGGGGGGCGGTAAAAATGCAGCTCAGTGTGAGCTGAACCCTCCCAGAAGAAAAAATTATCTACAGCCCTGTTTAAACTGAAAGTTCATTTGGGCTTTAAATTACATATTTACCTAGTTTTAGCTATTTTAATTCTTTTAAAAACATTTGTGTTGCACGTAACCAGTGACAAATAAAGTTTTGTATGTATCTTTAGGTTTGGCTATTGCATGCTGATTGCAGAATATTGTTGTCTTTCCTGTTTTTTTAATTGTGTTTATACAATTACAATGATAAACATACTTTCTATGGTGCTTTCCAATATACATAAAATGAGATAACAAGAGTGGCCCTTCAGGGGCCCAAAACTGACATTGCCCAGTACTTCATTAGTTCTTCTGTCCACTGATGGCTACGAGTCTGCCAGGTAAAGTCCCAGTGTGCTCACAATGGTGGCGCTATAGTAGGAGTTGTGTCATCCTCACAATTGCAGTTCTATGGATTTGCTTTGATGTTCTCCTCGATCCAAGGGATGAATCTGTAGATGTGGGAGTAGACCCCAGGCTTGTCTTTCTCTCCGCACTTTTCTCCCCAGCTAACCACGCCGGCAACTTGAACCACTTCATTCCGTTCACAGGTGAGAGGTCCACCGGAATCACCCTGGAGAGGACACAAGAGGAGGTTAGAGGGTTGTGCGTCATGGTTAGCAATGTGTTCTGGAGGATTCGGGAAGCAGAGCAGGATTGTTGTCCATGGTGAGCAAACAGGTTACACAGACGATATAAGAGGTACAAGGGGTCTCCAAACTTTCTAGACAAAGGACCAGTTTACTGTTCTTCATACTTTAGGGGGGCTGGACTGTGACCATTGAAAGTAGAAAAGGTCCCAATGTCAGCAGAGCAAAAACAATGCCCCATCTTTGGTGTCATTGGTAGGCTCATAGCTTTCGTGTAGCTCCTGCTCAAGTTGCGTATTTTTAATGCGTTAATGCACGTCGCCTTGGTGTAGCCCATTCAATGTGCAACAAACTTCCCAAAGTAGCTCTAGAACCTTTTTGGTTGCAGCTTTTTTTCTGTTTGCATTTTGTTAGGTGTCATGCAGCAACTTGTATTTGCTACCTACGCCTAACAATTAATGGAACTGCAAGCACAACCCGCGATTTCAGTGCGTTTCCAACATGCGCAGCAAAATGCACATTTTTGAGTGTTCTATCAAGCAGGTGAGAATGCAGCTTTAGAGTGTTGAGCTTTGCACGATTTTTAACCGCACTTTTTGACGTGTTTTTTCAAGTGTTTTTCCATGTGGGAAAACACACGTCTGCCATTTGAAGTGCCATTAACAGTGATTAGAACAGCAATGCAACACGTTTTTTCATGCATTTCATAAATGCACAATTTTGCACGTGTTCACAAAACGCTCAGGTGTGAATGGGGCCTGAAGGTATTGGGAGACGGGGTAATAGTGAGACTGACCTGACAAGCGTCAACTCCCCCGTCAGGAACTCCGGCACACAGCATGCTTCGGTCGATAAATTTCCCATACATTGTGGGGTTGGAGCAGTTGGCATCAGAGATGACCTGGACAGTGGCTTCAAGCAAGTGGTTGGTGAAACCTGCATCAGAAAGGAAATTGGGATGAGGTAGCAATGGGAATAGGAAAAGATGACTAAGAGAGGAGAGAGAGACAATATATGTAGCATAGAAGAACTGTAGGAGAAGAGAAAAGATAAGAGAGGGCAATGTGGGAGGTTGGGGGGTGGGGCGGGTTGGGGTGAGAGGGGACCATGGGGATCATGTATTGTACAAAGTGTTGAATGGTATGATATTGTGTAAGTTCCTTATATATTTCTTTGTAAATGAAATTAATAAAAAATATAATAAATAAATAAGATATTGGTCTTATGCACATGAGCCATTCTGCTGGCCTCCATGGGCTCTGATTTGTGTCCAACAACCTCACTGGCAGATCCCAATAAGTATGAGTTGGAGCAGATATCTGTGGGAGATACCTACTTAAGTACAGTCCAGGGGCGGACTGACCATTTGGAAACTCGGCCCGAGGTCAGTAGGGGGCCCCATGAGATGCCCCTGGTACCTTTTTCATAGGCTTTTTTGAGTTTGGGCAAGGACACAGGGGCCCCATGATCCCCTATTGCCCGGGGGCCCCATGAGTTGTCAGTCCACCCCTGGTACAGTCAATTGCTTAGCTAGCACCATCTTTGTTCAACCATCATTGAGGATCACCATTCAGGGTTCACAAATGCCTGACACAGATCAGCCCCTGCTGCATGCTCTCACTGTGACTTTCTACACAGTTACAGTTGCAGCCATGATCACTGGGGGGCTGATCACATTTACATATGAATCTAAATAAAACTGTAAACACAAAGTCTCAGTTCATACTACTGCTAGCTGAAAGTTGCGCGACTTGAAGTGTGACTTTGCCAGTACAAATTTGAAGCAACTTTGAAGCAATTCTGAAGTAACTTTAAGCACATGCCGCCCAGCCACTGTAGAAATACGTTGGCAGGGCGGCACGGCTGGGCAAAACCACGTTATAAAACGTGTGTTTTCAAAACAGGTAGGGGGCGTGCGCGAGGTGCGCCACCACCCTACCTGTGCTGCCGATCATGGCCGCGGATGTCAGTCGCCGGGTCACAGCTGATCGTTACCGGCTGTGTCCCGGCGATCAGCGGCAATCAGTGACACAGAGCACAGCTGCAGTAGCTCTGCTCTCTGTCAGTTCCCTGACAGCTCCTGACAGGCTGATTGGGAGAGAAGAGTTTCTCTCTCTCCCGATGAGCGTTTCCCTGTGCAGTACACCCCCCCTAGTAAAACACTCCCCTCACACAGTTAACCCTTTCACTGAATAATAAAGTTAACACCTTCCTCCCCAGTGCCATTAGTACAGTGTCAGTGTTTTTTTTTTTTTTTTTTTGCACTGATCACTGTATTGGTGTCACTGGGGATGTCAGTGACCCCAAGTCAGTTCCCCCCCAGTGTCGGAATGTCTGCCACAGTCCCGCCATAAGTCACTGATCGCCATCATAAGTCGCTGATCGCCGCCATTATTAGTATAAAAAAAAAAACTAAAAATCCCAGTATCTTTCCCATCATTTGTAAACGCTATAACGTTCACGTAAACCAATTAATTTACACGTATTGGGTTTTTTTTTTAGCAAAGACATGTCGCAGAATGCATTTTGGCAGAAATTTATGACTAAATTTGATTTTTTTTTTTTTTTTTTTACTGGACATGTTTTATAGCAAAAAGTCCAAAATATTGTTTTTTTTCCTCAAAATTGTCAGACTTTTTTTATAGCGCAAAAAATAAAAAACACACAGGCAATCAAATACCACCAAAAGAAAGCTCATTTTGTGGGAAAAAAAGGATGTAAATTTCATTTATGTACCATATTGCATGACCGCGCAATTGTCCGTTAAACTAGCGCAGCGCTGTATAGCAAAAATATGGCGTAAATTGCAGTATCTATACCATAGTTTGTAGACGCTATAACTTCCACACAAAGCAATCAATATACACTTATTGGGATTTTTTTTTACCAAAAACATGGAGCAGAATACATTTTGGCCTAAATTTATAACTAACTTTGAGTTTACTATATATCTTTTTTATAGCTGAAAGTGAAAAATATTGTTTTTTCTTCAAAATTTTTGGTCTTTTTTTTGTTTATAGCGTGAAAAATAAAAAGCACACAGGTGATCAAATGCCACCGAAAAAAAGCTCTATTTGTGTGAAAAAAAGGACGTAAATTTTGTTTGGGTGCAGCATTGCATGACTGCGCAATTATCAGTTGAATTAGTGCAGCGCCGAGTAGCAAAAAGAGGCCTGGTCATTAAGGGGGGTAAATCCTCAGGAGGGCAAGTGGTTAAAGTGACTTTCAGGGAATGCTGGGTAATCTTCCTGTAATGTCGGATCCGAATCATATTAATATAGATGAGGATCCGACTTGGAGGCGATTTCCATTAAAGTCTATGGGCACAAGTCGAATAGAAGTCGCCTTGAAGTAATACAGGAACCTTTTCTAAAGTCAGAGCGACTTCAGTAGTGCCAATTAAGAAAACGCTCATTGACTAACATGTTATTTCACATGTCATGCGACTTGGGGTCTCACAAATCGGATCCAAAGTCACGGCAGTTTGAACCAAAACGTACTCTCAACTTTGACTTGCTACAAAGTTACAATATTGAAGTCTGATCACTGGGGGAGAGGAGACTGAGGAAATGCTTCTTCCTTCCTGCAGTAGATTGATGGCATCATCTCAGCCTAGGCAAAGTCATTAAACTAGAGTTCAAGAATGGCTTTTTAATGATAAAAGGTGGAGCCTTTCTGAGAAATTATCCTGTTGTATATTGTAACGTGGCAGGGAATTTATTCCCGCAGACTTGTGAAGTTACTGACTTTAAGAAAAACAAAATAAAATTTAAAATGTAAAAAAAAATGTCTAATATTAAAAAAAAATTAAAATTACATTAACATTTAAAATGTTGAAAAAAGAAATGTGGTAAAACATTTGATTTTCTGGGTAATATTGCCACCTTTATTTCTGTTCTGGTTACGGATCTGTACAGGGCCCAGGCCAGCAGGGGGGCCCAAGCAGCTGGGTGAATCGGATGTGGGTAGGGAGGCTGATCGGTATGGCTGGGGGGCAATTACTGGAACTGATCCCCTGTATGGCTCTCCCTGCAGCAGCTGAAAGATGGCTTCTTCTCCTCTCCCTTCTGCTTGCTTTCAGCTACTGCAGAGTAAGCCATACAGGGGATCAGTTCCAGTAATTGCCCCTCACTGCACCATCTCCCTACCTGTGCACCATACTTTTCACCCTGCCAGTTTCCCCTTTGTGCCCCCACCCCCGCAGTGCTACCGTCTTCCCTCCTATCCTTCCCACCAGCAGCTGCAAGCACATAATAGGATCCTTCAGGATGGAGAGTTGGGTAAGGGTCCGGTAAATAAGTCACATTTACCAGCCCCTTCCATTCCTGAATGAACGCAAGGACCAATCACTCACTGTGTTCATTCATAAATAAAGCATAGTAAACCGTTTTTCTTGGGGTGGAGGGCCCCCTCAAGCTGGATGTATGGGGCCCCGTGGTTCCTAACAGCAGCCCAGTGTGAGATGCTGTGTAACTCACCGTTCTCGGTCTTCCCCCACCCAGCGATGGCACACATCTTTCCAGGTGGAAATTCCCAGTCTGGTAAACACGCCATCTTCACAAAGCGGGTCTCCCTGGCGCATTTCCCCTTCTCCTTCTTCAGTTTCATCAGAGCTGCAATCAGAAAGAAACAAAATCGAATTAGAGCTGACGTTTTAATCGGTTTAGAGTTTGTCTTCTCTGGTCCCCTCCCCCCCTTCATTGACGTTTTTAATAAATAAAATAATAAATAAAATAAATAAATAAATAAAATAATAAATAAAAATGTTTTCATTGCATACTTTTAGATCCAGTATTGTCATCACTGGGTCTCTGTGTATCTTTCTATCAGGGGCGGACTGACAACTCATGGGGCCCCCGGGCAATAGGGGATCATGGGGCCCCTGTGTCCTTGCCCAAACTCAAAAAAGCCTATTAAAAAGGTACCAGGAGCATCTCATGGGGCCCCCTACTGACCCCGGGCCCTCGGGCAGTGCCCGAGTTTCCAAATGGTCAGTCCACCCCTGCCTTCTATGCAATGCAGGCAGATCAAGGCTGGTGGGAGAGGCTGGCAGGGTGCTGTACATAGCTTTCTGAAAACGTCACGGCACCCTGCCTCAGTACTCCTCTCAGGAGCCCCGATGCAAGCAGTGGGCTGGCTCTTAGGAGGAGTTATGCAAATATCAAGATGCATTGACAGATGAATGTCAGCCTGGAGGTGTGCTGATTCTAGACAGGCTTCATATGCTGCTAAGCCTCCATGATTGAAACAACTGAAACCCAATGAAAGGGGTGGGCCAGGAACAGTCAGACTGGGGAGCAAAGAGCTTGATGATGCTGGATGCCTTCCAGCCAGGACATGAGGCTGGCTCTATCTGACTTGCTGCAGCTTCTAATGCACATTGTGAGAAGCTCACAGTGTGCAAAGAAATCAGAGTAAGCCATTTAAGTGCATTAGAGTAGCCAGTACAACTGTGCAAGACTGAAGAGAAGACTGGAGGTCAGTAAGAGTCAGGCAGAAAGATCTTGCTCATACTATGTTTACTAAAACTATTGGATTTTGGAGGCAATGGCTTATTAAAAAAAACAAAAACAAAATTCCAGCAGACATAAATTCTATAACCTAAACTGAGCATAGGCCCATCATACTGCCGGACGGGTCACCTACCGAAATCGTAGTGCAGGCTGTAGGACCCTTCTATAAAGTTTTCATGCATGATGATCTTCTCCACCTCCAGCACCTGCTGCGAGCTGTCGTTCTTCTGTAAGTCTGATTTTCCCAAGAACACTTTCCAGAAGTTCGGCTGCGGTCTGCGTGAAAGAGAAATCATTTTATATGGTCACGGGGGAAGTCTTATTGGTTCACTGATAAGAAATTATATCCGCGCTTTGTTATATGTGGCCACTCTCATTAAACCCACGTAAATGTCAATCATTAAAATGTGACGCGCCACCAAAATAATTGTGTGATAACAAACATACGATCAAATGAGTGAAATAAAAAAATACTAACATAAAGTCCATATGAAATAATCAAAGTTACATAGTTAGTCTGGCTGAAAGAAGACAAAAGTCCATCCAGTTCAACCATATTAAAAAAAAAAAAAAAAAAAAAAGTCCCAGTGAAATCCTTCATGTAATCCAGCCATTCTCAAACTTTTCAGATCAGAGGAACTCTTGAAAAAAACTTTCCGGTCTTAGGGAACCCTTACTAAAAAGTACTATATCTACAACTCATGATACATTAGTGTGATGGAAGAATGCTTCTTACACTTAGGGCTGCTGTTAGAAATCACAGGGCCCCATATAGCCAACCTGACAGGCCCCCCCAATAAATCTCAGTTTTGAATGAACACAGTGAGTGGTTAGTACCGTACTGATCACTCACTGTGCTCATTCAGGAAAGGAAGGGCTGGTAAATGTGACCTTCCCCCCACTCTCCATCCTGAAGGATCCCATTGTGTTCTTGCAGCTGCCGGTGGAAAGGAGGAAAGCCGGCAACACTGTGGGGGTGGGGGCACGGGATGTAGGGATCGGTTCCGGTAACCGCCTTCCCCCCGTGCCAATCACCCTCCTGCTCACATCCAATTTACCCAGCTGCATGTGCACCCTTGCTGGCCTGGGTCCTGTACAGGAGGACTGGTAGTACCCCCTTGTCCACAGCCTTGCTTACACTTATGGGAAGAATTACCCCTTTACAGATCGCTAAAAAGCTCAGTAGTGTCAGTGGGAACTTATCTGAGAGGCAGAAATTGCTCATTGCTCAAGGAACCCCTAGCATCCTCTGGAGGCACCCTAGTTGAGAAACCCTGGTGTAATCCATAGTGTAGTATTTATTCTTAAAAATGGCATAAAAACTTCTTAGATTGTAAGCTTCAAGGATCAGGCCCTCCTATCCCTCTTGTATTGAACTGTATTGTTGCTGTATTGTCTCCCATTATATTGTAAAGTGCCGAGCAAACTGTTGGCGCTATATAAATCCTGTATAATAATAATAATAATAATAATAAAAACAACTCAAAAACAAGACATTCAACTTGCTTACATGAAAAGCCACTGCCGACCAGGAATCATGCAGCGGCGTGACGTCAGCACTAAAAACTCCTATCGACGCGTTTCGTCCAATAGGACATTATCAAGGGCACTATATATACATTATATTCATTATATATGCAGGAACTGCTGCCTTTTAAGTGACTGCGCTTTAATATTCCTCTATTTCAGGCAAGTCTAAAACTTTAAAAGAAAAAGAGAGGAAGGCGCCTCTAAGTGCAGTATTGACAATTTATTCAGTAAACAATGGAAAATTTGCACTTACAAGATAAACGGTTAAAAAGGCTCATTGTGTGGTAATTAGATCCAGGTGGGACATCCAGCCGTCCAGCAGCAAACTATGTCTATAGGATCAGGAAGTAGAGACCAGGATGTGCCTGTGCATCAAAAATGAAGCTTGGAGAGCAGAGTCAGATGTAGCAGGTGAAGGGGGCGGTAATGCATTTCGGAGCATGCTCAATAGGCTCCTTCTTCAGACAAAGGTCTGAAGAAGGAGCCTATTGAGCATGCTCCGAAATGCATTACCGCCCCCTTCACCTGCTACATCTGACTCTGCTCTCCAAGCTTCATTAATTCCAAAATCAAATGTTGAAAGCAAATGAAATCTTAATTTTTGTTGAAATTCTACCAGTGTATACCCAGCTTTAGGCTTTGACACTCAACCAGATGAGAGTGTCTTCATCTAACCTGTGCTACCAAAAAAGAATGAGAACAATGTGGTTGCTGGTACTCACAATGGTTTCAAACAATGGGCAGCTGTCAGAATCCAGCACTCAGCTATCAGAGTACCACCGCATAAATGGCCCGAGGGATACCCACTACGAGGCTCCTTCAGCTGCAGTGAAGCCAACCAAGGGTGTTTTCCCGGTTGTGTCCTCTTCCCCCCGATGATCCTGCCACGGCTGTTTAAAGGTAGGTCTCTTATCCCACACGTGGAGAATGAAGCATTCACCCTGGCTGTTGTGCTGGGGATGGTCGTGGTTTTAGGCGGCTTCATTGTCGTTGTGATGTTAGGGCGCAAAACTGGAATCTTCCTTTCTGTTCATTAAAAGAATATTAAAAAATCGTTAGGCTGAATTTCTGAATGCTCTAATTGGATATGAAAGAACTTTTGAATCTTTGAAGAAGTTATCTGTTACAATCGTGTCTTGATGTATTGGAGTAATACAGACATTTTTTAAAGGTCAGAATTGCAACAATGGGTGCTGTGAACAATGCATATTCAAATGAAAACATGTGGCAGAGGCTACTGTGTGTACTAATGTTTAGACTGTATGTCAGGGATCGGTGACTCTGCCGCGATGTTTCGGGCGGCGCATGCACAGAGCACCGATACACTCTAGCCAGCGAGCAGCGGGACCTGGGCGATCGTGACGGCCGCGCATGCACACTTGCGATTGTGGACACGCGCCTGGCACCAATGATAGCGCAGTGCGGGCTATTTAAACGGGACAGGAGGTATGTCAAATGCCGTTTGGTCTTTATTGCCTGTTCCTGTTATCTGTTCCTGTGAAGCTTCCGTTGCCGACCTCTGCATTTGATCCTGACCCTGCTGATTGTCTCCTGCTTGACCCCTGGCTTGCCTGACCATCCTTCTGTCTGATCCTTTGTACCGCGCTGCCCGTTAGTTACTGAACCCGGCTTGTGACCCTGACCATTTCTGCCCGCTCCTCCGGTACCTCACTGCCCGCACGTTGCTGACCTGGCCTGCCTGACTACGCCTCACAATCCATCCATCCATCCCGAATGGATCTGTCCCTGTTATCAGGCTTGCCAGCCTCTTCACGTCAGGCTCCATTTCCCGCACACCTCTGGCAGCGCTCTTTCCCATTGCCGGATGTACTCAGGGGTTGCGACCTGGTCTCAGTCTGCTCCAAGTCAATCCCTACCATCAGGGGCCCTGGTGAACAAGCAGATTGGGACTTGGACTCCGCGCCCTGTGAAACCCCGTGCCGTGGGCGGCTAGAGATGCCACCAGGCGGTGTCTGACTGTCAGGGCTCCCAGTATGACCAGAGACGTGTGAACTGACACAGGGAAACGCGGGCTCAAGTATGGTGTAACAATATAATTTATTAAAGTCTATACACAAATATATAAAAAGCACAATATACACAAAACCAAACCTCCAACTGATAACGGAATGTACACAGACAAGAGCAGTCAGGGCTGGTGAGGTGGAGTGGTCAGGCAGGCCGGGTCAGGAACCATCGGGCAGACAAGACACAAAGGAGCAGGCAGAGCATAATCAGACGGGCCAGGTCAGGAACAATCAGGCAGACAAGGTACTAAAGGAGCAGGCTGGAAAGTGGTCAGGAATAGCCGTGGTCGGTGCAGGCAGAGTTCTATCAAAGTCAGGAGTCAGGCAGAGGGATCAGGAAGGCAGACGACAGGATCTGGCACAGGGACTCATGGGCACAATACACCAAGCACTGACTGCAGGCCTGGCCATTGCTTAAATACACCTCCTGCAATCAGCCTCAGGTGATGGCTTGATTGCAGGAGTGAGATTCTGGCTGCTGAGAGCACCCGCTGGCCAGCCTTGGTACTGCAGCCCACAAGGCAGGTGAGTCCCACCACCATTGGCGAGTCCATTCCTTACACTCACACTGTAGTTTTACGAGCTGAAAAATCTCTGCACAGGGGGAGGTTCATGTGCTGGGGAAGGTCCTGGATTTAGGCTGCTTCTTGGTCGCAGTGATGTTAGGGCGCAAAACTGTAATCTTCTCTTCTTTTCATTAAAACAATATTTCAAAATTGTTAAGCTGAATTTCTGAGTGCTCGAATTAGAAATAAAAGAACTTTTGGATCTGTGAAGAAGTTATCTGTTACATTCCTGTCTGGATGTGGCAGCAAGTGATACAGACATTTTTAAAAAAAATCAGAATTGGAACAATGGGTGCTGTGAATGATTCATATTTAGGTACATTAAAATGTGTGGTGGAGGCTACTGTCCGTGCTGGTGTTTACAGTGTTGTT